AGCTATCAGTCAGCTCCATGACCAGTATGGGTACGTAGCGGACCTACGAAATGGACAGATACATTGGAAGGTTGCTTGGGTTCTTTACTCATCGTCTTCAGTGTACGAGAAATGGCAAACTCCAGATGAGATTTACCGAGGGTTAACCGTGATAATATTAATGGGAGGATGTCAAATACGACACGATTCGATGCAGTGTCTCTCCGTTACCTCTGTATGAGGTGAAAGTACTCGACAATAGGGGTGCTCAGTTCTATAATGGCTAGTCGCGACATTATCACAGATAAGTGAACACCTGTGATAACGAGCCATTTTTATGTCATAAATGCCACGTGTGAGGTAGAAAATGCCACGTGTAACCCCTCCTTCGCGTCCTCCCCCATGTCATCTCATGCAGGTTTATGTATATGTATCTCGGCCATTGCATTTCTCAACTATCTACTAAGCAAAACCCCTCGGATTTCGTGTCATGCCTTCCAAAACCCCTCGAGCTCACCTCCTGCACGATTTAGAAGATGCCGCATTGCTTCTGTTTCCTCTGCTGGACGATCATACCTCAAGGGCCTGTTTGGAAGACATAATTCAAGCACATCAACAAATCTCAGCAAATCGTTACTTAGATCGATACCCGACTGTCTCTAACAATCTTCCCCGACCCTCTTTCTACCACAGTGACATTCTCCTCTTCGCAGAACGAGGCATTCGTCATAAACAAGCATTTCGCATGTCCCCTAGCCATCTTGATGACATCGTCGATTTTTTCAAGGATGATCCTGTCTTTTTTTCAAGAGGAAACAAGCCTCAGGCCCCACCAAAGTATCAGATAGGGTTACTGGTCTACCGAATGGCTCATGGACATGACTGCAGGACATTAGATCGCGAGTTCGGGGTCTCAAGCGAGTTTTCCTTCCAATTGCTCTGTCCATTTTGCTAATTAGTTAGCCGGCACTGTATTCAAGTGGTGTGACCGGGCCCTCATTGCTATACTGAAAAAACGATCTTACTTCATCTCCTGGCCGTCCCCCACCGAAAGAATTGAAATCAAAGCTCGATTTCTCTCTGAATACTCAATTCCTCACTGCGTAGGCCTCATCGACGGCTATCATGTGAACCTCTCAACTGCTCCTGCTAGAGATGATGCAGGGGCTTATCATAGCCGCAAGGAGAGGTATGGCTTCAATGTCATGGCTATCGTCGATCATACAAAGCGTTTTCGATATATTCATTACGGCTATCCCGCTTCCAGCAGCGATCAACGAGTTCAGCGAGCTATCGAACCCCTTAACACGCCCTCTCAGTATTTCAGCAACCAGGAGTACCTCCTGGCTGATTCTGGCTTTACAGCATCGTCTGTCGTCGTACCAATGTTCAAAAAGAGTGCTGGCCAAGCGGTTCTTCGAGGTAAAACCGCGTATTTCAACTCTCGAGCCTCTGTCATGAGGGTAGGGGTCGAACATTCAATAGGTGTGTTAAAGGCTCGATGGACGATACTTCGATCAATGTCTATGAGACTTCGAACTAAAAGAGACGAAGCTATGGCTCACGCAATCATTGTAGCCTGTACAATTCTCCACAACATCCTCATAAACACCGACGAATATTACACCGAAGAAAATACTGGAAATTTACCAATTGAACCACTTCGAGATGACCTGCCTGCAGAGGAGGTAGCAGAGGACGATTTCTTAGGTGCTGGTCGTCTCAGGCCACACATGAGAAGACGTCATGAGTTGGTGGAGCAAATGTTAGCATTGGAGACAGAGGAAATCGACATAGACAACTTCATTTTATCATGAAAAAAGGTGAGTGGTTTCAACTACCTATCACTCTCCGACCAATTGCTCCACTCATCATATTCGGTGTGAACGTCTCCTTCCCCTTCTTCTCTGTCCCTGTGAGCTCTATCATACCTCTCCTCTGCATCTGCGATAGCCTGAACCCAGGAAACACGAAGTTCTACCGGTAGTCCTTGCTCTGCAGTGAGACGAGCTTGAGCCTCCTTCGATGTTATGACCAACCTCTCATTTTTAGCCCTTTCCTTCCTCTGTCTCTTCGAATCTTCTCTTTCTTCCTCTTGGATAGCTAGCTTACGCTTCTCTAGGCCTATCTCCTCCCTTCTGCTCGCAGCAATCCCCTCAAACAACCCCGCAATACCTCCAGCATTGTTTTTTCCTTCCCCCCTCCTGGACGATGTGTAAAGGCCTGTAAATCAGCTATACCCTGACCTTAGTGGCTATGCAGTCCATGTCACCGTGCCTGACGTACCTGCAGCTCGCTTGGTCAGCCTATGATCACTAAAACTGCGTTCCCTAGTCGCAGGACGTGTATTTTCGCTCTGAGTCGATGTATCTTCAGTTTGAGACTCTTGCTGGCCTAGGAAGTCATTCAATGACATCTGAGATGGTGATGGAGGCCTAGGAGAGTGTGGAGATCTCTCAGGAGAAGGAGAGGGGTGGTGAGAACCCCTCATAATCGTCTCGAGTGTGACATTCGAATTTCCGGTGGTACCTGTGCGAAGGGATTCTGTCCCGCCGTCTCTTTCGGCAAATATGGGGTCCACAGAGTCATATTCAGGACACTTCTTCAGTACAGTGGCTGCAGATCAGCTAAGGAAGCATAGGAGTGATGAACAGCCAGGAGACAGATGATACACAGGTCACAGGAGGTATTCGGGGAGAAGGGGAGAAGGGAGAGACGGGGACTCACCTTTAACCGTCTGTTCAGCTTGATTTATCTTCTCTGGATCCTCACTACCATCCACCATACTCTCGAATAAACCCTTCCCTGTGTGATTTAGCCAGTCACGGGCCTCTCGCCACCTTCTTAAGAGTTCACGAATCTAGAAGACATCAGCAGAGTTTTAGGGGGGGAGAAAAGGAAGGAAATCACACTTACCTTGTTTTGTATCTGATCAGTCGATCTTGTAGTTGGACATCCTGACTTGGACATCCACTCAGAGCATTCCCTAGCCATCCCCAGCTTCTTCTTACCCCCTAGGCCATGTTGATACTTCTTGAAGTTATCTCCCATAGCTAACCACTCAATAAGGTAGTCGAGCGAGCAGTATTGGCCGGTACCTTGATCTTTTGTCCAGCCTAAAGTTGCTGGGGGGTTGTCCTGACTATCCTCTTTGTCCCTGTTCCTCCTTTGCTGAGTTCTAGTAGATGGTTGCCGAGCAGTGGAGGGGATATGCAGAACCTACTGAAGTTAGCAGGGGTATGCGAAGGGGGTTTAACGACATATTTACAGGTGGTGACGGTGACCTCAAATTACCACCCCCCAAGGTGTCCATAGTATCAGCTTGAAGCTACAGCTCTCCTCTTTCAGATTCTTGGCTTTTTATCGCTTTAAAGTGTCTCTGTAAGAAGATACGATAACTCTACGGTGATGATGAAAACTCAACGGTCACTTTTCACCTGTGGTGATGTCGCGTTTGTTTGTCATCAAAATTACCCGAAGAGGAAAATTTTACGTCATTTTAACACGTGTTATTTTGGCGTATCAGAAATGAGCACCCCTAATAATACCATGTTCAACGCCAAAGTCGATGGACGGTCGAAGTGGAGCCCCGGGATCGGGATTTCTTTTTGGATTAATTACATAAAATGTATTCCGAGAAATTTCCATCTAGCCAAAATCTTGTCCGTGGTTTCTCTACGTCTTGCAAAACTATCATCCACCCCAATCATGTCGGGTTCACTCACTCATGTCCTCTTCGAGGGATCATCAGGTTATGCTCTATTCACAGTCAACATGCAAGAAGAAATCGCTGCAAAGTCAAAACAACTTCAAGATGCTATAGCAGATTACAACATTTTCTCTCGTATGGTTCAATTGGCTTCTTTCCTCCCCTTCACATCTGCCGCTCAAGCTTTAGAAAACGCCAACGATATCTCAGAAGGTGTACTTAACCCTCATCTTAAATCTTTATTGAATCTGATCGTCCCAAATGCTGCTGGGAAGGGAAACAAGAAACAATCTGGGGTGTTGTTAGGGGTTGCCGAACGTGGATTAGGTGGGGCCATTCAAGGAGAACTGGGTATATTATGTGATACGGGTGAAAGAGCTTTGGAATTGATAAGAGGAGTAAGGTTACATCAAGAGAAGATGTTAGTGAAAGGGGGGATGCAAAAGGGAGATGTGACTATCGCTCAATTAGGTTTGGGACATTCTTATTCGAGAGGAAAAGTAAAGGTTAGCATATCTTCTTGTTCCATGTACATCCTCTCCCATTCATGATACAAAAGTACGTAGTATGACATCGGCATCAAGCGGCCTTTTTGTCAATGCTACAAAGCACGTCTTTGACGCATTGACAAGGAGAGAACATTCAATGTGACCCCGCTAAACCCACAGTTCAACGTCAATCGATCAGATAACATGATCATCCAAGCTATCGCCCTCTCCGATCAACTAGATAAAGACCTCAACACCTTCTCCATGCGTGCCAGAGAATGGTACGGTTGGCATTTCCCCGAACTCTACAAACTCGTTCCCGAAGCACACCAATATGCACAGCTCGCTGTTCTGATCGGAGACCGAGCTTCACTATCCGAAGCGACTCTTGAAGAGATGCAAGAAATTTTAGATGACGATGAGGTTCGGGCGAAGAATGTTTTGGATGCTGCCAGAGCCAGTATGGGAAGCGATATCTCCGAGATTGATCTTATCAACATATCGAATTTCGCTGAGAGGGTGGTGAAACTTGCAGAGTATAGGAAGAGTCTGAGGAAGTATCTGGTGGAGAAGATGAATGTGGTCGCACCGAATTTATCGGCTCTGATAGGAGAGACGATCGCTGCTAGGTTGATTAGTCATGCGTGAGCCGCTTCCCTTCATTGTCCACTGACCGGTCCATGTTCCGTGAGCTCCGGGGAAGGTGGGGAGGGAGCAGCTCAGCTTTTCCTTGTTGTCGATCGTGGTCCAACTATGCAGTTTGCATCTTAGTATTGGAGCTGACTGACAGCGGCTCCTTGACAAACCTTGCAAAGTACCCCGCTTCCACCGTTCAAATTCTCGGTGCCGAAAAGGCTTTATTCCGCGCTCTCAAGACCAAAGGCAACACGCCCAAAGTAAGTTCCTCCTTAACGAGTACATTGCATCCGTTGATCATCAGTACGGTCTCATCTATCACTCTACATTCATCGGCCGTGCTGGCTCAAAACACAAAGGTCGTATCTCTCGTTTCCTCGCTAACAAATGTTCCATCGCCTGTCGGATAGACTGCTTCTCTGATGTCCCCACAAACCGATTCGGCGAGGCTCTGCGGGCACAGGTAGAAGAAAGATTGAACTTTTTCGAGACCGGTACACCGGTGTCTAAGAATACCGAAGCTATTCAGAAAGCTTTGAAAGCCATCGCAGCCGATCTGGACGATGAGGATGAGGACGATGATGAGATGGACATTGATGATGTGGAGGTGTCAGAGGTGAGTGTCTGTTGTCATTGTATCGACTCAGAAAGTCACGGTCCATGGGATTGAGACTCAGGAACCATGCTGATGGTCAGGCCGTGAAACAAGTAGCACGAGACCAGGCTGAAGCTGCTGCGCTCCGAGGGCCATTAGATCCCGAGCTGCAAAAGATCGCAGTGGCCATTCCTGGAGGCGCTGTCGCTTTGGGTGCTTTGACACCGAAAGAAAAGAAGGAGAAGAAAGAAAAGAAGCGAAAGTCTGAAGTCGGACTGGAGAATGAGAAGGAGAAGAAAGACAAGAAGGATAAGGATAAGAAACGAAAGTCTGAGGAAGTGGACGAGGATGAAGAGGAACGAAAACGGAGGAAAAAGGAAAAGAAGGAGAAGAAACGGGCTTCATTAGCTGCAGCAGACGTGTCAGTGGAGAAGGATAGCAAGAAAGAGAAGAAGAAGAAGCGCAAGTCCGAGGTGGAGTCATGAGAGAGAGGGGGTCTTCTTCTGACGTGGAGGGGACGTGCTCGTAGTAGAGGTTGATGTTGTGATTTCATGCCATATACTTTGACTGTCTACATATCAAGGACGCTACTCGAGCCTAACTCATCGTGCGTCGCGTCTCGGTTGACACCTCCACCGGCTTATCAAGCGATGAGCGATCGAGCGTGCTCTGTGCTTTGTGCTTTGTGATTGTTGTGTATGTGTAAGTATGTGTAAAACTCACGGGATGTCACGTCGGATGGTAGGAAACACGTCGCGACGTCGCGCTTGAAAGACGCGAAGAGGATCAATCTTTGGCTTTATTCGATCCCCACTTAGTGTCGGTTGACGCGTTTTCACTCAGGATCCAACTTTTGTCAAACTATTCAAAAAGCCTTTGCACCAATTTCCTCGTCCCCTTATCGTCTTCCCCTTGCGTATCACCCATAACATCTCAGCTCAGCTTGTATCGTTCTCTTTGATCAACTAGACTCGCTCATATCCTATCCATTGTTTCCTAGTGAGTATCATTCCTATTTGCTCTCGATCCCTTTCCCCCATTTGCTGACTCATAGATTCACCACACTCGTTTGACACGTCCCTCCTTCACATCATCTACCCGTCAAGATGGTCATGTGGATATACAAACGTGACGGCCGCAAAGAGCACGTAGCATTCGACAAAGTTACCGCTAGAATCAATAAACTATCATATGGTCTCGATCCCAACTTCATTGAGCCTGCCGAGATAACTCAAAAAGTCAGTACTTTACCTTGTACATCTTCCAAATTCAACTCGGTATGCGTGATCTCGCTGATTTTGTAGGTCATTCAAGGTATTCACACTGGTATCACCACTGTCGAACTCGACAATTTAGCAGCAGAAACAGCAGCATATCTCACTACTAAACATCCCGATTATGCTATCCTCGCCGCTCGTATTGCCATTTCCAATCTTCACAAAGAAACCAAGAAATCTTTCAGCGCAGTCGTACATGATCTTTACAGTTGGGTCAACCCCAAGACTGGTAAACATGCACCTATGATCGCCGACGAAGTCTATAAAGTAATCATGGACAACAAAGACACTTTAGACGCTGCTATCATCTACGACCGTGATTTCGCCTACAATTACTTTGGTTTCAAAACTCTCGAACGATCTTACCTTCTTCGTGTCAATGGGAAAATTGTCGAACGTCCTCAACATATGATCATGCGTGTCGCTGTTGGTATTCACGGTGATAACATTGATAAAGTTCTCGAAACTTACAATCTCATGTCTGAACGTTATTTCACTCATGCTTCCCCTACTGTAAGTTCACATAGCTATGGAATTTGTTGAGTTTGGCATAAAACTGATTAATAGTTATTCAATGCCGGTACACCTCATGCTCAAATGTCATCATGTTTCCTCGTCGCTATGAGGGATGACTCCATCGAAGGAATCTACGACACTTTGAAAACCTGCGCACAAATCTCAAAGACTGCAGGTGGTATCGGTCTTCATATTCACAATATCCGTGCCAAAGGTTCCTACATCGCAGGCACCAACGGTTATTCCAACGGTATCGTTCCCATGCTTCGAGCCTTCGACGCTACAGCTCGATACGTAGATCAAGGTGGTAACAAACGTCCTGGTGCATTTGCCATTTACCTCGAACCTTGGCATGCCGACATCTTCGATTTCCTCGATCTACGGAAGAATCATGGTAAAGAAGAAGTTCGTGCTCGTGATTTATTCTACGCCTTGTGGATCTCAGATTTGTTCATGAAACGAGTCGAGTCAGATGGAGATTGGACCCTCATGTGTCCTGCCGAATGTCCCGGTCTCGCCGATGTTCACTCTGAAGCTTTCGAAGAGTTATATGAAAGATACGAAAGAGAAGGTAAAGGTCGTAAAACCATCAAAGCTCAAAAACTTTGGTTCGCAATTCTCGAAGCTCAAACTGAAACTGGTGGACCTTTCATGCTATACAAAGATGCCGCCAATGCAAAATCGAATCAACAACATTTGGGAACTATCAAATCATCTAATCTCTGTACAGAGATTATCGAATATTCTGCTCCTGATGAAGTCGCCGTTTGTAACCTCGCATCTCTAGCATTACCCGCCTTTGTTGATATGGAACGCAGAGTGTACGATTTTAAGAAATTACATGAAATCACAAAAGTTGTTACTAAAAATCTCGATACCGTCATTTCTCGCAATTACTATCCCGTACCCGAAGCTCATCGATCAAACATGCGTCATCGTCCCGTCGGACTAGGTGTACAAGGTCTCGCCGATGCTTTTATGGCTTTACGTATGCCATTCGATTCTCCTGCCGCTCGAGAACTCAACATACAAATCTTTGAAACTATCTATCACGCAGCTCTGGAATCATCTTGCGAGATGGCACAGGAACGCGGAAAGTACGAAACGTACGAAGGTTCTCCTATTTCTCAAGGTAAACTTCAATTTGATTTATGGGGAAGGGTTCCTACCGATTTATGGGATTGGACAGAATTACGTGCCAATATCGCTAAACATGGAGTGAGGAATTCTCTATTGGTCGCTCCTATGCCAACAGCATCGACCTCTCAAATTCTAGGATGGAACGAATGTTTCGAACCTTACACTTCAATGTTGTATGCTCGTCGTGTATTATCTGGAGATTTCCAAGTAGTTTGTCCTTGGCTTTTACGTGATTTGATCAATCTCGGTTTATGGGACGATCATATGAAAAATCTCATCATAGCTGCTGGAGGTTCTATTCAAAATATACCAAGTATCCCAGCTGAGCTCAAGGCGATTTATAAGACTGTATGGGAGATTTCTCAAAAGGCCGTGATTGATTTGGCTGCTGATCGTGGAGCGTACATTGACCAGAGTGAGTGTTGTATATCAGGCTACTTACTATCTTCATCGTCTCTACCCTGACCCAATCCATTCGAATGCGTTAGTTCTAACGACGGATGGAAATGGATGATCGTCATGAAGTGGTACACTAAATGCTTTGAACATGACTGACGACCAGGTCAATCTCTCAATATTCACCTTGCCAACCCATCATTCTCTCAACTCACATCGATGCATTTCTACGGTTGGAAACGAGGTCTCAAAACCGGTCTTTATTATCTTCGTACCAAACCTTCAGCTCAAGCAATCCAATTCACCATAGACGCTTCAACTTTAAAACAAGCCAAAGCTCTTGCCACAGGTCCGACACCTCTTCCCGTGTCTAATGGTGATGTCGAATCTATCGTTACACCTCTGCGTCAAGTCAAAATCGCGACCACTGCGTCTACTGCACTTTCTGCACCTCCTTCTGCCACTTCGTTGAATAAACGACAAGATTCTCCTGGTCCGAGTGAAGAAGAAGAATTGACTTATGAAGAAGCTAAAAGGAGAGCAGAGGAAAGAGCAGAAGCAGCTTTACAATGTAGTATCGATAATAAAGATGCTTGTGTCATGTGTTCAGGTTAGAGTTGTTGTAATTTATTTCTTCTTTACTTTTTACTCTTTGATGGATTTCTTTACATGCATGTTGATGTTGATGTTGCTGTTTGCTTACGGTTTTGCTATTCGCTTTCGATGCTTAACTCTTCACTTTCCTCTCCCCTTTTCCATCTATTTTCACCATTTGACTATCTTTTCTCGTCTCTTCTCGTCATAGTGATAAGTACACTCAAACACGTATCTTGACACTCTGAAGTATCAACACATCCTCATCTCTGGTAATCGTTACATGAACAGCACTGGTCGAGGTGGGTAAGATGTCGACTGAACATTTGTTGGGGGATATGGGAGATATCCTCGAGGCTCTCATGGGGGTGGATAATGGACACAGGGATAAGTATGTTAATCTCATCTCTCTCTGAATTACATTCTTGTTGCTTCGACTGCTTCTTCTTCACATAAGTCTCAGCTGCTAGCTGCTCTGGTCCCTATTTCATGGTCACCCCATACATACGTCATGTCAAAGCCAATTACCGAGATTCTCAATCTTCGGACAGAGTCACATTCCACAGGTCATAACATCGATCTCCTCGATCTCGACTTCAGAACCTTCCCTCGGGGTCTGGCTCCCTGCTTGACAAACCACATTACGCCCGATGTTGCAAGTGTATGCCCACGAGCGACCTTATGAACCCACGCAATGAACGCACAACACTCTACCTCTTTTGACCTCATGGTCCCGACCATCTGATATCTCAACGGACGATATCATATCATCTTGTTACCTGATTAGTGTCACATCCAGTCTCTCCTCGTATCTGATTTATGCAGCTAGCCAGCTCATAATGTCATATATGAGACCCATGATCGTCTCAGCTCATGCCATACAATATCCCCAGTAGATGGAGGGCTTTAGAAGGGCGAATGGATGTCATTTCGAGATATCTCAATAAGGTCTCTGGCTTTAGGGAGTATATCATGGCGAAAGATGGAGCGTCTTGAGGTGACATGATGTCAGAGATAGCTGACTGATTCAGAGCTGAGAAACATCTCCAGAATCTAGCTACTGAACAACCTGGTCCGGTGTTATTACTTTTAGCTCAAATTGGTGCATTGGGTGTAGGAGGTTTCCAAGTTGATGTGAGTCATCTGTTTGTCTATCTTACTCCAGACATTTCCCTTCTCACACGTCTTGAATACCTCTTCACACTTGCTCCTCTCACCGCTGCTCATTTTATCACATTTGACTAGCTACCTTCACCCCCAACACACTGTGAAGGGGAAAGGTGGAAGGGCCTAGTTCGGCAACGTCAACCTTTTTGGTCTGGATCAGCTGTCTCCCTTCTTCAGTATGACATATCTACAATGTCGTTCCTCGCACTGACACAAAGCAACGTTTCCTCTGTCTACTTATTCTCCGCCGATTAGCTTTCAGTCGGCTACCTGACTTACACCTCAACCCTCAGACTCCTCACCCCACGGCACCGTTCGATTATATCACCGAAGAGGTCAGAGGGAGGATAGAGACTGTTTTATGTACTGGGTTGAAGGATGAGGTGAATGTTAGGATGAGAAAAGGTTTGGGGACATGTGCTGGGAAATGGGCACAAGCGAGTATGCTTCGGAAACGTAAGTCTTGGGGTTATCCTCACTTCTCAATGTCTATCTCTTCTTCTTGGTGCTTACCTTCAAACCTCATTCCATCAACTTGATTCCGAACCGTTCATTTTGCGCCTTGTCATAAGCGCCTGTTTCTCGGCTGAGGTCTTTTAGAACGAGCACTCCCAGCTCTAGACTCTACACGCTCGGTGCGGGCGTCGCTCACATTCAGGCCCGATGACTAGACTACCTCCCGTTTTGATCAGCCTACTCGGGGATCCGACACCCTTCCACCGCTTCACAACCTATCAAGTTATCGAAATTAACCCAACTCTACTTATCGACTCTCGAGGGGGAGTAATCAGATCTCCCGCTTTCCTTGGTCAAGTCCTCCAAGGCGGTCTTCATGATCCCAGCTATGACGTTCGTGCTCAAGCTATAAAAGCTACCACGGCCTCCCTCCTCTCTCAGGCTTTCTCAAGTTCACAGAAGATCGAATATGGGATATCTCTCGTTGCTGAGATATTCAAGGTGCGTCGTTCTCACCCCTCTTCAAACACCACAAGCATACATTACTACTCATACACAGCTCACAGTGAGAATGGGTCTGGCTGACATCCAGTCTTTACCTCATTTCCCACCTCCTATCATCGGTAAAGCTATACAACCTCTTATAGATCTAGCAATCTATTATCCAGATTTATGGTTATCACATCTCGATCAATGCTTGCCTTTCCTTCTTTCCACCATGGCATCTCCTGTCCAATATCCCACACCGATCGCACTATCTCGTTATGACCCGACTCAAATGGAATATGACGATTGGGTGGTAAGCTGCAAAGCCTCCACGGAAATCTTGCTCAGTCTTTTGGAAGTGCGCAAAGCTCAACTTCTGGCATGGCAAGACGCTCGTGTGGCGAAAGATCTGGTGGGGCTTTTGTTAGAGTGGCAAATCACCGCTTTAGGTCTGTTGGGAGATGATTGTACGACTTGGCTGGAGGCCGAAGTGGTGAGTATGAAAATTTGGTTGTTGATGGAGCTGATGAGTAGTTGGAAGATGACGATGAATATCCCGGAGAACCTGAGACTTCCTTGGATCGGTTATCGGGATTAGTGGGTGAGTCTATCGTATACCGTCCTCGATGTGTTGTGCTGATGTTCGAGGTGGTGAGTCGCGCTTTAAGTGCTATGATAGGAAACAATGGTCATACTCCAACCACAGTCCATCACTCCGCAATGGGCAGCTCAGGCGTAGCGTCTTCCTTTGATAAGTCACTGGAATGGCGATACATATTGTGTTGCTCACTGCAGCTCAAATCGACCGATAAGATAACATGAACTGAAGCTCAGGCGCGATTATCCTTCCTACACTACTTGAACACGTCAGAGTACTCCTCCCACGACCAGAATGGATCTGTCGCTATGGTGCACTTATGGGACTTTCGGTGGCGGCTGAAGGCTCCTCTCAGGTCAGTCTTGACCATTTATTATGTTATACACTTACCTTTCTTAGGCTATCATTCCGCAGATCCGAGACATAGTCAAGTATGTCCCACTCCATCTTCTCATTGTTTCCGCTGAGCCCCAGTCTCATCGGGCACACAGCTCATGACCCGCATCCCCGCGTTCGGTGGGCCTTTCTGCATTGCATAGGTCAAATGGCTGTCCATTGCAAGGTAAAGCACATGCTTAATTTTGGTCTACCGCCAGCTGATATGTAGAGACAAGTCCACAAGATGTACTCCGACCAGATCATGGAAAAATGTCTGGAAATGATGTCGGATCCTCAACCTCGGTGAGATGATTGGTTCAGTACACTGAGTCTGGCTGACACCAAGTCTCCGAGCACAATCCATAACATGTTTACACGTGTTCTTACAAGACGCTACGGCGGAACAGGTCATACCGTACTTGGATAGATTGGTCCCTGCTTTCCTGGAGGGTTATTCGAACGGTCCGTCCTATATTCAACGATGCACCATTGAGGCCCTCGGTGAGTTATCCCTCCTAATCCTTATGTCAGCTGACACGTAGGGGTTCTGGCTTTGTCAGTGGCAGAAGCATTCGAACCGCATTACCGTGCGTCACAGGTGCAAGTTGAGAACAGGCAAGACTGATATACAGATGATGTGATGGATATGTTACTTCAAGTGCTCAGCACAGCAACAGAAGACGATAAGACGATCGTTCTCGAAGTCCTGAACAGTGCTACTACTATAGGTTTGGCAGTGGGAAAGCGAGTTTTCGTCACGGACGCCGCTAGGTTGGCGGCTCTGATGTTGGCCATTCAGAATCAGATTACGGATGTTGGGGATCCCAGAGGGACAGAGCTAGCAAAAGGTGAGTGTATTTAAGTTCCTACGTCCCTAAAACCCTCAACCTCAAGCTTTTCCGTAAGCAATGAACGAGAAAAGAAGAGGTGAAAGGTGTTATCGAAAGTGCAAGGGGATGATGCTTATTATGCAGCTTGGAGGAGAATCTCCGCAATACTCGAGGATGACTTCAACCCTTTTTTACCCTTCATCATCCCGCCCCTTATCCGAGCAGCCGAATTCAGACCTCCTCCACGTGAAACTAAAAAGTCTCGTGAGTGTTTACCTCCTATACTGTTGCGAATGTTGGGCGACCTCTGATGGTCAGTGAGTGGTGAAGACGAGGACGGTGGTCCTGAAGACCCTGACGTCATTTATACTGCCGAACTAGAAGAGAAAGCTATTGCTTTTGAGAATTTGGCAGCGTATGCGATCAACACCAAGGGTGCGTTCGTGCCCTGGCTCGAGAAATGTATGTTCTTAGGTGTGGATGCTTTATCTTTTCAGTATTCAGAAGATGTCCGAGAGGTGAGTCAATCCGCTATTCTGTCATACCACATTTATCTCCTCATTTCGATTTTCAAAATACAGAGCGATACAGAATGATACGAGTGGAACAGTGCTAATCTCAGTCTGCCGCTTTGTGAGTTCCGTCTCAAGTTCAGTGTGAGAATCCGGATAATTTCGACTCCTGATTCTCAGTCTCATTCCCGGCTTATTACAAACGGCCAAAGACGAAGCTCGTATCCCCATTCCGAACGTGCTCGAAAGTATCTTCTTGGGACTTTTAAATACTATCGATCAAGAACAAGATAACCTTTACATACCCACTTTGTTCAAATCATTTGCCGATTCCGTCCGTGTCATTGGCATTCCCCTTCCACTCAATCTCGTCCATCGATTCTTCGACGTGGCTCAACGACGTGCAAACATTTGGTTGAAAGAACGAATGGAAAGGAAGGTTTTGAGACAAAGTGGAGAGATAGATGAAGGTGATAAACAATTCATGATCACTGAAGAAAAAGAAGAATCGATTTGTCTTGATAAAGTTGATGAAGCTGCGTTAGCAGTTCAAAAGACTTTGATGATGCAGAGTGAACAGCCGGAGAGTAAGGGGTTGATGAAGATGTTTGGAGATTTGTGTGTTACGACACATGAAGCTAGACAGTATGAAGGTCTTTTCAATCAACAATGAGGGATGGTCTGTGCTTTCGAATGAGATATACGTATATCATGACTGGTTAGGTCCATGGGAATAGTTACTCGAGTGATGATGTTAACGATGATGAGATGATGACTTGAAGAACAAGATTTGGTACATATACTTTCTTGTATGTTGTTTAATAAATGCATTGCATGGTATCATCCTCAGGATGGTTTAGAGGTTTAAGATAGTAAACCGTGTTGTTGGAGATAATCAGAGATGATAGCTACAGCTCCGGCAACATCAACTTGATCTGTCCTAATGTGTATCTCGGGAGATACGGGGGGTTCGTACGGTGCTGATATACCTGTGAAGTCTGAGAGGAGTTAGCAAACTTTATTGTTTCATTCGTTCAATCTTCCTGAGAAAAGCGGAGCTGAGTTATATTCCTACACCCTTGCCCCGTCCCACATCTTTAGCATTTATGAGTACTAAGGAAGTATCCTCAACCCAAGCCGGATATCTCTAAAGTACACATCAAGCTAAACCAGACAATTCAAATGACGAAAGATCTCACGAAATCCAAGATATTTCGGAAATCTTCCAAAACGTCTCCAGATACGATCACAAGTGAAGATCACAACTTGAAATGAAAGGAGATGAATGAATGAATGAATGAATGAGAAAGAAAGAAAGAAGTGGACGAAAAAAAAAACAACGATGACATACCTTTTATAACACCCTCCCTAGCTTTCTTATACAAACCTTTTGGATCCCTACTTTCCACCACATCCAAAGGAGCGTCAACAAATACTTCTATAAAAGGTATTTTAGGAGAATGATCTTGGTGTAATTCTCTAGCTAATTGACGATCGGAAATGTATGGTGAAATGAATGCTGTTATTGATATAGAACATGATAATGAGAAGAGGAGTGATACGTGAGAAATACGACGGATCTGAGGTTGATCAGTGATTTTCTCTTTTTTTGTATTTTTGTATTTTTTTTAATCGTTCTTCATTTATCCTGTCTGGTATTCTTTCTTTTTTGATTGGAAAACTTGGAATATTTATTTTCATCATATTGATGATTTGTTTAAAAAAAGGGATCTTTTTTCCCTTTATTTTACTTTTCAAAAGTATCAAGTTGGTAGTCAAACTTCAATTTCCCCATGTGTCCGAAATGAACTTGATCTCATACGTTTCTCTCGAAACTTTGAACAACACTTGGCGGCCTTGGCTGTGATATCTTTCCTCGACGAGATTACCCAATTTCCATAAACATGGAATGGGAGATCAGAGTAGAGAAGAGAAGAAGAGAAAAGTATAGAGATTCAAGGGAGGGAAGATGATAGTTGAAGAAGAAAAAGAAATATGGACACGGAAAAACAAACTCACATTCTCTACCCTACTAGCAGGATCGAATCCTAAATCTTTATTCAGACCAAAACGTATATTATCACCATCTAACCTATATGCGTGTAAACCTTTATGAAGTAAATGTTGTTCTAATGCCGTTGCGATGGTGGACTGAATGTTAAACTAAACCCTTTCAACTTGTCCCCCTTCTCATGGCATTTCATCTGTTTCCATGGCACTTATCTTGATTATCTCATAGTTTGTCTTGATTCCAACATGATGACAGGAATCTCACCAGCATATCGGAATGAAATATATCGTGTTTATGAGCGGAATGAGTGAATGATGAGCGGAATGGAGGGGATGTCAGAGATAGAAGAAGGAAGAGTAGTAGTAAACCCACCTTGCCACTCGCACTCAAACCGGTCAACCATACAGTCGCCCCTTTCTGTTTCAACAACCCAGATCTCTCTTCCTCACTCACAGCACCAGGGTGGAAAGTGATGTTCGTTGCCATTCTACTACGTCTTCTCGCAGTCAGCTGTTTCGATGAGGCCAGAGACGAGACGAAGACCCTTTATATATACAGAAACCTCGGGAAAAGGCACCAAAAAGAGATGTCACGCCATCGATAAGCGAACATTTATCTGGAATCTAATCTTCCATAAAACACATTGATGCATCCGATATTCCATATACCTTACCCACCACATCAACATCACATCGTCTCCAATCTCGATAGATCTACACACACAAAGAGGCTGATATACGAATAGATGGATATAAGAGTATGCATCAAAACATGCGATGATGCCCAGGGTCATCCTTCAAACCCTCGCCCACCGCCTGTGGTATTCCCACTCGCATACGTCCTGAGATCAGCATCAGGCCGAGACATCATCGTAATTCGCCATGGCTCAAGCGACCACAGCACTGATGACAAATTTGTCATATCACAATTCCATGAACCCACAGGTAAGCATGAAAGTGATTGATCATCAACGGGTCAGGCGAGAACGCCGCAAGGTAGCGAGACAGACTTTTACTCACTTGCGCCCACCGCTAAACGGTCTCGGAGGCGGAAACATCCCTTTCATCGGGAATGTCCAATTCCCCACCACAGCAGGCGGCTCAGACGCATCTTCCTCTTCTCCATATCCATTCAACTGATTCCCATTGACCCCACTGGTAGCATTTGTCACTATCGGCGGAGCTAGAGAAGCTCGATTAGCCGCCGGTGACAAACCTGGGGGAGGTGGAGGAGGGGCAAAGACCGTCCCTGCTGGAGCTGGTCGACGCCCTTGAGGGGTAGGAGACGCCGGTGCTTGTCGGGGAGGAGGGGGAACGGCGCGACTAGCCGGGCTAGGACCAGGTGGTGGTGGTGGAGGCGTCATCCGTGCTGGACTTGCACCAGGAGGAGCAGGGGGAGGGTTGGAGGGTGCTCTGGGACGAGAAGCCGCCAAAATGGCTGCCGCTGCTGGACTTCGACCGGAAGGAAGAGGGGGAGCATCTTCGTCGTCTTCATCGTCGATCGGTGCTGTAGGTGGAGGAATACGAGGTGGTAGCTGACGCGCAGCCGGAGGAAGAGGTGGAGGGGCTGGAGGAGTGGGAGAGGGGGCATTCAAGGGTGTGGGCCGATGTGGAGGAGATGGTGCGAAACTGTTATTTGACGCAGACGGGGGTATCGGTGGTGGTAGCGTCCGAGATGGTGGACCAGCAGAGGCTGGACGGGAAGGTAACGTTGGGGCACCGGTGGGACGTGGAGGAGGGGGAGGAGCACGCTGATAAAGTCAGTATGTGGCCTGTGAGGTGACGAGAAACGTACCGGAGGAGCACCAGGAGGGGGCGGGGGAGGAGGGACGGTTCTCTGCACTTAGTCAGCTTGTCTCTGAAAGGTCAAGCCTCGAGTAAGATATGCAAGAACATGGCCAAGCTTGAAAGCACCCACCCCTGCTGAGGCGCTCGCCGGACGTTTTGGCAACAAAGGCGCTCGATTCGGTAATGGTGGAGGAGCCAGATGCCCATTTGGCCTTGGAGGTGGAGCGGGTGGGGCGGCCCTTGCTGGCGGTGCCGGCGGTACAGAGGGAGCTGCTCGAGGTGGCGCAGGAGGAGCTTGAGGAGGAGCGGGAGGCGTAGAGCGGTACGGCGCCGGTGGTGCTCTTGGGGGAGCTGGCGGAGCAGCAGGAGGTGGGGGGACTGGGGGTGCCCGAGCCGGCGGAGGTGGGATTGGAGCGGCAGGTGCACTGCTATGTCAGCTGTGAACGATCTGCATATAGCAGCTTACCTTCTCGCAGGCGGTCCTGGTGGTGGTGGAGGGGGCGCTGGAGGCGGAGGTGGACCTCTGCTCGGAGGACCGGGGGGTGGAGGAGGAGCAGGGGGAGCTGTGGTCGGTCTAGGCGGAGCAGGTGCAGGTGCAGGCGGAGGCGGACCGGAATGTCTAGGGGCTGATTTTGGTACAGGAGGAGCAGAAGGAATAGAAGGCGGTCTTGCTAGAGTGGAAGCACCTTCTGAAATTGTCAGTCTGGATCTTCCATAAGGAGAGATCTCACGATTGCCAGTCTTCCTCAATGTCGGTATACCTCCTGCAAATAGTCCAGCGAGCTGTTGAGCAGGTCCACCGCTCGGTGGCGCAGGCGCCGAAGAGGGACCAGGAGAGGAGCCTGCAGAGGGTACGGGAGGTGCTCTGACTGGAGCTCCTCCTCCTCCGCCGCCGCCACCACCACCACCACCGCTGGAGACTCGACCATCGACAAGTGGGGAAGATCTATCATTTGTGACTGCTTTTCGAAGCCCTTTGCCGGCTGTTCGTCAGCTCAACCTCTTGTAATATTCTATTGGTTTGATATACGTACATTGAATTTGATTGAGCAAAGCAGCATTCATGTTGCGTGTGGGTATGAAAGAGAAAAAGCCAAGAGATGACGCAGAGACGTTGCACTGCCGTGGGATCTTGGTGCGGGATAAATTGGAATAAAGAGGGGACGATTATATTCCCTTCAGCTCACTCGCCTCTGACGTCGCTCTTACTTCGTTCCCTACAACCTCTTATCAAACCTGGTGACAAGTAATCATGAGCGGCAGCATAAATTTCTCTCCTTGTATGTCTTCGTTTGCCTCCCCAACAACCGATCTCTCTCGCTGATGTGACAGATCAACCGCCTCCTGACGTCCCATCGACAGATCCTCCATCCGACTCCAATTCTCTTCTAGGTGGCAGGGGTAAAGGAAAAGCCAAACGACCTTGGTTCAATCGGTTAGTACTTCTTCTCTTCACATACAATATCCTGTGTGTCTCTCAAACATTACCAGTACGCTGATTGATAGCGACGCATCATACGCCAACACATACCAATCCGGTGGTAATCTCTCCGACCCATCTTCCGTCCCTCAAGCATATACAAATGATCCCGAATCTTCAGCATATGCCGGAGGGTCGGGTATGAATGGTTCAGCCAGTGAAGATAGGGCGAACGCTTGGGAGAGTAGGTTTGGTTGGAGGGTAGATGTGATGGCTGCTGCTACGTATCTCGGAGGACCTATAACGGGTATGTCCGATTTGGTCTTCTGAGAAGAGAGAAGTGACTTATGGGTCTAGCATTAACATTTCTGATATTGGAGACGCAGAATGATTATGTTCGATTTCATGGTGAGTTGCATCACCATCCTTCCATTACTTTTGCACATCACTTGACAACTCGTACTCTTCGTCGTCGGAGCTCTGAAATAGGTCAGCCTCGTGGACACCAGTTCGGGCTCGGTCATTATATCTTTCTCTAACCTCGTCAAGGGTTTCTGGAATTGAGTGTATGCTCGAGATAACGAATGGAGAATCTAATGGAACAATGCTTATTATAAGCCTATCAATCAGCCCTTCTCACAACCCCACTGCTTGCCCTTCTCCTTCTATTCAACCTCGTTATCCGTCTTCCCACATTTCTCCGAGTTCTTCTCATCTTGGGATCGATATGTGTTACCCTCTACGCTTCATTCAGAGCGTGGAAAGATGCTCAAGAGGGATTGGGAAGATATTGGTTGCCATATATTGGAGAAATTGCCGAGAAATGGGTAAACGAGGAGTAATTGAAGGGAAGGACATTGTGATGTATACTCTTTGCATAGGACGAGTTGGAGTAGTGCGTTCGTTTGTAGATGTCAATTGCTTTTGCTCTGCATTTGAAAATACAAATAGACGGTTTGATGGTTCATCTCAGTACGAATGTCTGGAGCCATAGTCGTCGGGCGAATCGTGCTTGCTTTCCAAACGCCTTCCCCCGTCGCTTTTCCGTTCTGTCCCGTCCTTTCTCATCCTTGACTCTTGACTTATCCTTGACACTCGCTGTAACTTACACGAAAATCATCTTGCCTATACTCTGTGTGTACTGATTTCCACCTGCAACCGAAATACCTAACTCGTTCACTCGACCCGATTCTGTGATGTCTCCTCTGCCTCTGTGGAAGTCGCAGTTCAATCATCCCAACTTGCTCGCCTAAGTATATCCTCAGTGCCTAAGTTGTCGCAACGGACATGTCATCCAGATGGTCAAACGAGTTCAACATGGTTTGTCTTTCTCTCTCTAATGTCACTTTCCATTCAAACTACAGACTACATTCTCAAGCCATGACAACAACTTGTTCTTTCTGCATCACAACTTGCCCTAGGCTACCAAAATTCTGATCTCAGATTATCTACAACATCCGACATCGACATCTACTCCGATTCATCCTCCTAATCCTATCTTTCATATGTCTTCTAGGTCTTCTCACATTCCATCTCCCCCCTCCGTCATTCCTTCCCTCTCCGAACTCACACTACCATCCTATATCTCCATTCCGAGTTCCCCCTACACTCTTCCGACCTCCTCCAGATCCATCACGACCGACATTTTTATCACCTCCCTTGGCACCGAAAAAGAATGGGATGGTCGTCCCTAATTCTGTACATTATGTGTACGGTTTGAAACCTGTCAAAGAGGGAGAGAAAGTACCGGAATTACCTTACTATGCGTATTTGGCAATGAAGAGTGCTTTGATGGTTTTGAAGCCAGAGAAAATGTATTTGTGAGTTTTTTTTATCGTTCTACACTTGACTCTGTTCTCGACCATCTTAATTTACTCATACTCCAGTCTCTTTCACTTGGAGTCATGCCATTGTGTTCAATGCCCATAGTCCTAGGGCGACTAGACAGTCCAATAACAAATACGACATTGACATTGGTGAAAGAGTATCTAAAACACCCCCAAAGTACAACTAGGCCTACTTTCGTACTTCACTTCATCAAGTATCATTTCAAATAATATCAGACTTAGAGGAGAGAAGTGGAATGAAAAACCATCTAACCCTTCAGTCACTACATCAATTTACCCACTGGACCATGGTGGGATCTAATATCCCCTCATTTAACCTTAACACCAACTATCGTCCCTTATTCCGTATTCGGTAATGAGTTGAATCATTTCGCCCACCAAGCGGATATCTTACGTTTAATGATAATGAAACATATGGGTGGTATATATTTAGATATAGATATGTTCATGTGAGTACTTCGGTTTTTTCTTCTTTTTTTCTTCCTTATTTATAGAGATGATAGAGAAATGGGACCATGTTGAAGAGTTGTTAACGGGGATAGTATCAAGCCTTTCGACGATTTAATGTACGAATCAACTACATTAGCAATGGAAATGTCTCCAGATAGTAGAAGAGATAAACTTGATCCTACAGGTTTATGTAACGCTGTTATAGTTTCTGAACCAGGATCGGTTTTTATAAATAGATGGTTAACTTCTTATGATACTTTTAATCAGGATTCTTGGGCTAGACATAGTGTTGAAATTCCTTGGGTGGGTTTTTTTCTTTTTCGTATATTCGTTTTCTCATGTCATATTTCCGCATATGATACTTGGTTACTGGAGTACCGGCATTACACTCATTATCTCTCTTTATCGTCGGTTCAGTTTATATATCTTCTTCTGGATCGAATGATTCAGGAAATGCTGACTTTGGAAGGAAATTGCTAGACGTTATCCGGACGAAATTCAAGTACTCAACCATAAAGCTTTTTTCTGGCCTATGTGGCATGGTGATGAAGTTCAAAGGGTTCATGAACGTAACGAATATGATTTCTGGGGTTCTGGACAATATGCGTGAGTCTTTCCATCTACCTCAGATCAACCTCCCCTTTTCTCTTTCTCTACTTGTTCCTGATATAGAAACCGGAACGGCGGGGGACCAATTTGGCTTGGCGTCCCGGTTTCTACACTCGCCGTCATGATGTTTTTAAAACACGCGATTTGCCAGTATGCACCGTTTCCCTGTGCAATATTGCATCTCAGTGATTGTGTCCCCGTGAATGGAGACGTAGGGTGATGATAATGGACGTTGGCTGAAGAAAACAGTTATCACGCTTGGGAAAGTTTAGCTATGAAATATTTATCCGTCTTATCACCTGAAAATATCCAAACGGAGGACACATCGTTTCATCGGCTCTTGAGACCTTTCGTAGGACCAGAGGATGATGAGGTGTATCGTTCGTGGCGTGGTAGCTAGGATATGAAAGTTTAGCATATATGCATTCATCTCAATACCAGAACTGATTCGGACTTGATATTTGGTTTTTTGTGATTTATGTCATGTTTATCCTGGAGTTGAAAAGATTTCGTCGATATGTTGGAAGGATGACAGTTGACGGAGGAGTCCTTTTTTGTGAATGACCTTTTACTCCGATAGAGAAATAATGACAGAAGAGAGTTGATGAATGAAGTAAACTTCAAACCAATCGACGTTGTCCCGATCGGACAGCTTGGGTCCATTGATCTTCCTTCTCCTCACTCGACGGCGTGACCGATAAAACAGTTTTTACAGCTGGTTCAGTCATGTTCACATTCGATATGACCTGATCAATCCTCCTAATAGTCCCATCGATCAACCTTTCTCTCAAACTTTCACTTCTGGCATTCTCACCACCTAACAATTTCATCTCATTTCTCTTTTCAGAAACTTCCAAAACCTCTTCTTCCCCATTCCCATCTCCCTCTTGATTCTCTGTCTCGACTGAAGAATCTGAATGTCGTGAGACTTTCCCCAGAGCGGCTTCTGCCTCTCGTACGAGTGTTTCTAAACTTTCACGTTGATGTAGAGATTCTAATAATTTACTAAGCTCTTCCGCCTCTTTTTTCATTTGATCCGCTTGTTGTTGGAATTTCTCAGGTGGGATATCTTTATTTATTTGAGATTTCCATGAATTACCTTTCATCGATTTTGATCCGTCATTCCGAGCCAGGTCAAAGGGTCGAGATGTGGATGAGGAGGATGAGATAGAAGAGGTAGAGGTGAGAAGAAGAGATGAAAGTTCATCTTTTATCAAACGGGCAGTACCAACACCACGATAACCGAAAGACGTGTATATTTGAATTATCGAACATCCCGCATGAGCGAATGATAAAGCGTCCGAAGCTGTAGATATTCCACCGCAACCGATTATGGGTATTGAGGGAGGTAAGAGGGGACGTAAGGTACGGACAGCCTGAAGTGCGTAGGGGAGTAATGGGGGTCCGGATAGACCACCGGTTTCAGAGGCGTTGGCTGAGGGTCAGACTTCAGATTCCATTGTATGATAAGTTATTCCATGACCTTTCGTTGTTTGTATGTCAGACGAACGCTTCTGTACTTGTTTGACACTTTGAAGGGGTGAGGGGAATTCTTTCATGAGAATGATGAGACAAAGTTCAGACTCCACTCACAAGATTTCAATCCCAAACCTTCTCGTCTGATAGTGGTATTGGAAACGATAACACCGTCCACACCTGAACTTCTTACAGCACTAGCCACATCCGCTAATTCATCCTCGTTCAAATCACAAGCCACTTTCACTGCGATTTTAGGAAGACCATCCACCATAATCTTGTTTCTCTCCACTACGACATCATCCAACAACCTCTTCAATATCTCCCTCCCTTGTAAAGCTCTTAAACCTGGAGTGTTGGGGGACGACACGTTGATCACTACCACATCCGCATATGGACCTAGAGTTCTAACTCCTCGTACGTAATCTTCATTAGAATCTGCTGCAGAAGTCTTATTCTTGCCCAGATTGACAGCGAGGATATGACCCGGTCGAAGAGAACGTGGTAGACCAGATGGGGGAAGAAGGTTGGAAGGGAGTGGAGAAGGGAAGTAAGATGGGTGAGATTGAGCAAAGGAAATGAGACGGGAACGGAGGTTGAACAGTGCTTGGCCATGGCCTAGCGAGTTGAACCCGTAGCGGTTTACAGCGGCGGAATCTTCTGTCAATCTGAAGAATCGAGGTTTGGGGTTTCCAGGCTGACGAGAGTTAGAGATACCTCCCTAATATATTGAGGCGAGTTTTTGAGTGATTTATACCAGTAGTATTGGTTGTCGAGTGATCAACAAGGTAGGTAGGAGGAAGAACAAGAGGAAGAGGATGAAGAAGTGTCAGAGTCAGCTGAGATTTGACTCACTTGAGGTTCCGGTGTGATACTTCCTACCTCCACATACCCAAAACCCAAATCAAACAACCCATCTATAGCCTCGGCATCTTTATCGAAACCCGCCGCTATCCCAATAGGATTCTTGAGTGGTATCCCAAAAATCTAAGAGCTATCAGCTTTCGCTCTCACGACAAGTTACGCATCTCACCTCCGCTTCCAGTTCCTTCCCGTCAACACCCATATCCCTAGGTCGGGCCCATTTCGGTAGTGACAGTAGTCTGATAGCGAGCTTGTGACCTGTCTCGGGGTCGATCAGTCTTGCAAGGGGCATCATCACATGTTCATGCATTAAAGACCTCGAGTCGTAGTAATAAGCCACCAGAGCCACGCTTGTTCCCAGAAGAAGAGTGGTAGAGATGAACCTCCTGGGGACGGAGGATGACGCATGACGGGTGGAAGTTGTCTTGATGTGAGGTCTTCTCAATGGCAGAGGAGAATAAAGGTAGTTTCTGGTGTGTGACCCGGCGTGGCCGAGCGATAGTCTGGGTACCATGGTAAGATACGGAATGTCAAGAACTTAGGAGAAAGGTCAAATATCGGCAGAGCAGGTTCGAAGACGGAGATAGAGTCACTGTCCGCTCCCCACTACTCCCCTCCTGCCCACTACTCTGCCAGCAAGGTCCCCCTCTATCACGTCACTATGCATTCCAACGCGCTCCCCAGTCGACCTCAGTAGGGACACTCGTATAGGTAGTGGTCATCTCTCAAGAGCTGCGGCTTACACTTTGGTGGGGAAGGCGAGATCGGCGGTGAAGAGTAGTAAAGACCTTCTGCTTGCCATCACTTGTCCAACTACTCGTATCCCTCCTTTCATCTCACCCCGCAGCCATACACCACAGCTTACTAGACACTTCTTTCCTTGTTCCTCCACCCTATACCTCTCTTCTCTAGCTACGTTATGACAAGACTCAATAGACCCCCAATAATCAACATGATCTCCTTCACCACCGCACTTCTCTTCCTCGCCCTCACACTTTTTCCCCTCGCCGCGTTGGCAGATGATCCGGAAGTCACAGTCACACGATTCGACAATCTTCCCAGTCGGCTCTTTTACTTTGAAGATACCCCTGTATGTTCTTCTTCTCTGTGGTCATCATCACATCACTGACTCTCAGGTCATCCTCATGCAAGACCCCGTCACACTGACCGTGTACCGTTCACCCGACGAAGGCAAGACTTGGGAAGAAGTGACCGGTATAGAAGAAGCCCTTCGTCTCGTTCCTCATCCTCACAACAATGAAATGGCTTTCATTCTCGGCCGGTCGACGACACACTGGGTCACTTACAATCGTGGTGTCACCTGGCAATCCTTCACCACTCCTCGCGAAGCCAGTCTTATCGGCCAAACCCTAGCTTTTCACGCAGAAGAACATGGTTGGATATTATTCCAAGGCGTGGCCTGTGAAGACACCGGAAGTGGGAAATGGGGTGGTGGAAAGACTTGCTGGGACGAAACGTATTACACCTCGGACGCATTCCGTACGGAAGCACAACTGCTCCTCGCTCAAACGTCCCAATGTCTCTTCGCCCGATCTTCACCAGCGTTCGTCAATGCTCCCCGAGAAAGAGTCCTCTGTGTGGCTTTTGATCAGAGTATGAAACCTGGGAGCGGTGGGATACACAGCTACAAGGAAAGCCGTCTTTACGCTTCGGATGATTGGTTTGCAACGAAGAAATATGTCGATTTGGGCATCGGCAAGAAAGCTCGTGGAGTTGTCGGTCTTGGTGTGGTCAGCAAATTCATGGTTGCTGCTCTCAGGGTATTCGAGGGTGCCGGAGTCGACATTTCTGCCAGAGCAAAAGGAGGTGATCCTATGCAACTCTACGTTTCGACCGACGGTTCCACTTGGCGACAGGCAAAATTCCCTCACTCGGCCATGCCTGATCTACGAGAAAACGCCTACACTGTTGTTGAATCTACCACTCATTCCATCGCTGTGGATATTCTCACTTCACCCTCGGCCAACATAGGAACACTCTTCGTCTCGTCAGATGAGGGCACGTATTTTGTCGAGGCGCTGCCAGATACGAATCGGAACGAATATGGTATAGTTGACTTCGAAGAACTTGTCGGTCTGGATGGTGTAGGCATTGCAAATGTTGTCTCTAACCGTGAAGAGGTAGTTGGATGGGGAGAGGCGAAGAAGATCAAAAGTGTCATTACCTACGATGATGGTTCAAGATGGAGACCTATCGAGGCACCAGAGACAAATATCAATGGTGATGATTGGTCATGCGATCGCACGAACACCACAGCTTGTGCCCTGCATGTTCATTCCGTGACTGTTCCCCATAATTATGGCAGGGTGTTCTCCTCAACGGCACCGGGCTTCGTCATGGCGGTGGGATCAGTAGGAGAATATCTACTTCCTTATGGTCAGTGCGAAGTAGAGTACTATTGAAAGAGCCTTTTGAGCTGATTAGAGTAGAAGACTGCGACACTTTCCTCTCCACCGATGCTGGTCTCACATGGAGGGTCATTCAAGAGGGTGCACACAAGTACGAGTTCGGAGACCAAGGCAGTGTACTTGTCATCGCCGATGATGAGGAAGCCACTGATCACGTACACTATTCTTACGATGGTGGCGCTACCTGGACCCAGCTCGATCTCGGAGTCACCGTCCGCACCTTGCTTCTCACAACCATTCCAGACTCGACTTCTCAGAAATTCCTTCTCTTAGGCTCTTCGTCACGCCGCGACTCGGATGGTGGACGACACGCCATGATCTTCCTCGACTTTGCCCCTCTGCGACACCGACAATGCACAGATGACGACTTTGAGCGATGGTACGCTCGGAGTGAAGTGGGTGAGGAATGTCTCATGGGTCACAAGCAATGGTACAAGCGGAGAAAACTTGATGCGTTGTGTTACGTGGGGCATAAATTTGAAGATCCTGTCGGTCATGAGGAAAATTGCCCTTGTACTGATAAAGATTACGAGTGGTGAGTCTGTCGCGAGCTTCTTAGACATACAGCTGACGATACTCAGCGACTTCAACTACGTCCGCTCATGTCACGAGTGCGTTCCAGTCGGTCCAGAGGCTGTACCCGCTGGCACATGCGCAAAACAGGACGACCAATATCTCGGCTCGTCAGGCTACCGACTAATCCCTGGGAACACATGCGATCGAGAGTCTGGCGTTAAGAAAGACGAACCAGTGATGAAAGATTGTTCGTCGGCCCGACCTGAGAATGGTCAAGCGAGTCACGTTGTGCATGATTTCTCATCCGAGATTGTGCAAAGCGCATACTTCCCTCAATCTCAGGTCGTACTGTTGCAGCTGGCCGATTCCACAGTCTGGCAGTCTGTCAACGAAGGTTTCTCTTGGAAACAACTCTACCCCGACGATACGTTCCTTGGACTCATGATGCATGCCTTCAGTCCTGAACGTGCATATCTTCTCACCAACACTCGAAAGATATACTACACCACCGACACTGGTCGATCGTGGTACACCATCACTCCTCCGATGGATCCCAACAATCTCGGTATCACCCTTCTCGATTTCCATCCGACCAAACCTGATTGGCTCATCTTCACTGGCTCCACCGACTGCGGTTCAGCCGTATCAACCAAATGTCGAGCAGTGGCGTATTATTCCACTGATCATGGTCGACGGTGGAAGAAGATAGAAGAATACGTACGAAGCTGTGTGTGGGCACGAGACGAGAGACTCAAGATTGACGAACGTGAAATCATCTGCGAGTCTTATCGGGACAAGAAAGGGTCTCAACTGTCGGGTGAATACAATCCTGTGGAATTCATCGCTGGATCGAACTATTATTCCAAGAAAAAGAAACTGTTCGACTCAGTCGTGGGATTCGCAAGTTTCTCCGAATACCTACTTGTAGCCCAGTTGAACGAAGCCGCCGGGACATTGACATTGCAAGTATCTTTGGATGGATATCACTTTGCAGAAGGACAATTCCCTCCCACCATGAGAATCGAGAATCGAGCTTATACGATACTTGAAAGTAGTACCGATAGCGTATTCTTGCATCTCACCATGAACAGCGCTCAAAATAAAGAATGGGGTCATATTTTCAAAAGCAACTCGAACGGGACATATTACGGTTTATCAGCGGAACATGTCAATCGGAACTCTGCTGGCTATGTTGATTTTGAGAAAATGACAGGATTAGATGGAATAGCAGTGATCAACATAGTTTCTAACCCTACAGAAGCAGATACGACAGGTCGAAAGAAAATACAAACTCGTATCACTCATAACGACGGTGGAACGTGGAAACCGATGAATCCACCACCTCTTGATTCACTCGGAGAAGAGTATGACTGTCATTCTACCTCATGTTCTCTTCAAATACATGGGTACACCGAACGAAGAGATCCTCGTGCGACTTATTCATCTCCCTCAGCGGTGGGACTCATGTTAGCTGTTGGGAACGTAGGAGAGGAATTAGCACCGTATACCGATTCGGATATCTTCTTAACTCGTGATGGTGGTTTCACTTGGGAAGAAGTACATAAAGATGCTCATATGTGGGAATTTGGAGATTCAGGTAGTATCATCGTTTTGGTCAATGATGAAGAAGCGGTGGATCATGTTGTGTATACGTTGGATGAAGGATTAAGTTGGAACGAATATACATTTGGGGAAACTTTGAGAGTCAAGACTATACAGACCGTACCGGAGGATACTAGTAGGAGGTTTTTGTTGTTTGGTACGAGACCTGGAGAAACGGATAAGACTGTGGTGGTTCATCTTGACTTTTCTCAGATTACGCAGCAGAAATGTGAGTGGTGGTCTTGGTTTCTTCCTATTCACCTTGCCCCCCATCTCCTTCCTCTCTTCTTTGATTGCGTCTCGTCATATCTCGAGTCTTACCAGCTCCCACATACAAGTCCGATCTTGAGAGTGAGCATAGTGAGTGGGGTAGGAAGGATCAGAGTTGGGACGGTCGACAACTTTGTCCCTAAAGGTGGAAGACGTGGGGGAACAAGGCTGACTCGAACTAGGTCAACTTAAAATTGAAGATCCCAATCATGACGATTTCGAATTGTGGTCTCCAAGTGAAGGGAGAGAAGAAGCTTGTTTATTCGGTCGACAAACAATGTATCACCGTCGGATCAGAGATAGGAATTGTTATGTTGGGGAAAAGATAGAACAGCCACGATCGATAGTACGGAATTGTACCTGTACCCCGTCAGATTTTGAGTGGTAAGTGATTCTTCTTCTCTTCTCTTTCACCCCTCCCCACTGTCTTTTACTTTTCCCCCTTACCTTTGACTGTCTCATCAGCGGTCATCCACGCGTGAATGACAGTACCACAATTGAGACATTTTAAGTTTCACCGCTGACAGAAAGTGAATTCAATTATTATCGTGATTCTTCCGGTTCTTGCGTTCTCGTGGAAGGTGCCATGGCCTTATCTTCCAATACGGAAGAAGAACAATGCACCGGTCTTTCTTCAACATGGTACGAACGTACTGCATATCGTAAAATACCTCATTCTTCTTGTGAAGGTGGTCAACGTCCCGATCGAGGATCTTCACATTCTTGTCCTGGACTCATCGGTGCGCGTCATGGTGGATTCTGGATCACAACCTTGGCAATATTACCATTCTTAGGTGCTGGTATAGGAGGATGGTGGTGGTATGCTCGATCTCAAACCGGTGCTATACGTTTAGGAGAACATAGAGCGTTTGGGGGTGGAGAAGGGAATGAAACTTTGGACTTCATCGCTAGTATACCGATTTACGTGGTGGGCACGGTGAAAGAAGTTTGGGCTTGGACGATTAGGAAAATACCATTTTTGGAAGATGTTTTCGGAAGAAGATTACCTTATCGTCAAATACCTATTGATGATGATGCTGAGATTTTGGCTACTTATGAGGATGAGTAAGGGGTAGGTGGTAGGGTGTGGTATATCATAATAGGATGAATCATATTTGGAATTGATGAAGTTAGGAGTTGAGCAAGATAGATTTAGGAAGAAAGATGAGTTTTTATCTCAAGAGGGAAGAGGTAAAGAGGTTTATACATGTATCTAGAATAAGAATCAAAAAACAATGCATGAGCTATGACATCTGACATTTATCATTTGACACTTTTTATTTTCCTTCTCCTTCTCCTTACTTCTCCTCACTTCTACCCTTGGAACTCTGTGAAATTCTATGAGATGTTTGAAGAAGATGACATGACCCGATTTTACCTTTTACTCAAACAACTCCAGCCCTTATCCATCTATCATGTCTAATTTGTAATTCCGCAACTATAAGACTCTCAATTTCGATTTCTCCAAAACCAGGCATAGATTCCCCATCTCTTTCTTCCAATCTCACCCACGTTTCTTGAAATTCCTTCGTTTCTTGTTCAGGTAATAAAGGAGGGGTTTCTGCTCCGCTGAATGAAGCTGGTGTTGGGAATTCCAAGTATGTATCTGGTGTAGACTCTATCGCCAACTTTGATTGCGTACCAAGTAAAGATAATGTCGTTAAGTTTGACTGCGTATTTGACGAGGGTAGAATAATGGAATGAGAAGAAGGAGAACGTTCAACAAAAACAACTTCGTATTTCCGTTTCTTTAGTGTGTTACCGATTACCATTTGATGACCATATCGACTTAATGCCGCTCGGGATTTAGGTACGAGTAAAGATTGATCCGTTTCGAGCTAGAGATAGATTCAGTATGATATTTTATTGAACAGTATGATATTTCATTACGAGTATAATCTCTCTTTCACCTCTGTGATCTTTCAGTTGCTTTTAGACGAGATACAAAGAAATGGGTGAAGAAACAAGAAGGAAGATTTGTAACTCACTTTGAAACTGACAATATAACCTTCCGGTGTCCATTCTTGTACTAAAGGTTTAAGTACTTTAGGTACTTGATCCATTTCTAATGATAACGTTCCTTGACTTGATTGGATTTTATGTTCAGCCTGGGGGGTCAGAGCGAGTCTCTCTCATATTGTGATATATATACCCTCATTCATTACCGTCCTCATTCTACAGATTTGAGATATTATCATTGACATTGCACCATGGAACAGACACGGACAATATTTGGTCAATCTTTATCCTCCATCCCACATATCTCCCTAGTGGATGTCTAGTGCAGGACGGAAGGAAAAAATCGTTTGTTAGTCCCTCAAAAGAAAGAACAGGGAGAAGACAGAAGTAAGAAGTTAGAAATAGGCTTACCATCTTCTCCTCTGGTAAGAAGAAATCTGACACAGCCGCAGCTAAATAAAACATTCCTCTTCTTCCTAAAGGTGATAAACTAGCAGAAATCCGTCTCAATAACCAAAGATATTCATTAATCGTTTGAAAATCTATACTCAATAAAGTCTCTTCGGACTGAGCTTTGTTATATGCTTGTAAGATTGGCAAGAGTTTCGTTACGTGTTGTTTGGGAACTATTATTTGTGATTCTTCTTCTATCTCATCAGTCTTTTTCTACCATATCACATTATAAACACCTTGAGAGGCTTCATTTCCACCATACTTCTCAGGAAGAAGAGTTTCAGACAAGCAGGAGATTAAGGTGTTAGACACGGAGGCGGTGGGAGTGTCAGACATGTAGGGAGTCAAGAGTGGATATGAGTTATAGAAGAATTGACATGAGGTTTCGTGAGGTAAAGTAGAGGATTAAGAAGGAAAGGAAAACTTACCTTTTGAAGGTGAAGAAGGAACAATTTGTAATAGATCCAAAAATGGGTTAAGGGAATGAGAATAATGTCTACTAAAAGGTCTCAAGGAATGTAATCGATGTAAGAATATGACAGCGTAATTTGAAGAAAGAAAATATTCAGCGGATGTTGCTCCTCTAGTTCCTAAGCATTAGCGATTGGTCAAAAATCGTTACCAGCCTCTTTTTACGATACGAGTGCACCAACAAATATTAATATTCCTTCTCACCTTTCTAGAAGGCGTAAACCATAAAGGATAGCTTTTGCCGCGACTATGGGATAGAGAGAAAGTATCGGAAACTGGAATGATAGTGAAATAGACAGAAGACTGACCAGCTGAAAAGTTATCAAGAAACCTTACGGTGTTAGATTCCAGAGGAACTGTAGTACCTCCACTCTTTACGTGAGTATTGACTTCTTTCTCTGATAAGAGCACAGAAAGATAGATTAAATAGCAAAAGACATAGATCGTAGGTGATAAGTGATGTATGAATAGGTGATCGTACGTACAGTGACCAAAACCACCCTTTTACCCTTTACCTCACCCCATCGTCTCACAAATTCATCCACCCTTGCCGCTTTCTCTTCCAGACCTGGGGGAGGACGTTGTGTTGCAAAGTAATCATCGGTGCTGAATGGTGTGCTCATGCTTCAAAGCAAAAGTGAGTGATATTGTTGAGAGAGTGAGTCGAATGTCGGAGTTAGTAGAATAGTACGAGTACGGATACGGTCGAGTAAGTTACTCGTAGTGTAGTGTAGTGGACGGAGCGGAAGAGCGGCTCCGTAGCGGCTACTAGGTAGATCGACAGAAGAGATGTCGATGTGACCGGTCGCGCGCCTATTGTAACGGTACTGGAAACACGATGACTAAGTCGCAGGTTTGGTAGAACTTGATGGAAGTCTGGTAGAAGTCTAGGGGTCTCTGGTGCTAATGGATCGTGTCTCCTCTGCAATCGATGTAGCCAAAGAATGATATTGAAGAATCAGCAAAGTTGGTACTTTGCTGATTGTACTATATACTGTCTATGGTATCCTTGTCCTTGTCCTCTCCCTGCTGCAAGCGTCTACGTACATACTCAGACAGGTGAAAAACCGCTTTTGAGCAAACCCAGTGGGGAAATCTCGAAAAGGGGAAAACCCGTCCCTACCTAATGCAGCCTGCCTCCAACTCCCGCTTTCCTCCATCCTAATCCGTCAAACTCGATGGGGTTCTCTCGATTCATTGTTTCCCCGTAAGACCTATCAACCAGAACATGTTTGTCACAGTCATTGTTTCTTCTCCTCTACTGACCCATGGTCGACAAACCTTGGCTAACTAAGTTGTACTGGGGTGTCAATGTCTCACAGAGACAGGGTAGTTGTTGGGGAACCACGGCTAACTACGCCGTAGTAATGTGCCAAGTGGTTAACAATAAGATGATCTTCCCCGTGGTACGTCGAACTGCTTGGTGGTAGCTCTCCCTAACTCGTTGGTTGTACCTGTTGGATATATCTCTTGCTCACAACAATCAAGGATTGGTAAAGAAGTTCAGCAATCTTGTGAACTATCTATACCTCTCTGCTCCTCTCATAGAATGTCTCTCAACTCCTGCACTGCCCCGCATTTAGTCTGTCACGCAGCGCTGTGTCACCTCCTCCTTTCCCATCAAACAAAGTTCCTTTGGACATCAGTTTGCTGTCAACGATCCTGTTCTCATGAACTTCACCACCCATGAGGGTATTAGGAGGCCTGACAAAGTTAGTCATGTAGGAAGTTAGGAGGATGCAAGGTTGGGGAGATGCAAGGTTAAGGAGATACAAAGTTAGGGAGGCATAAACTTTGTTAGGGGCAAAGTTTGCGAGGTACGAAGCTCGGGGCTTTGGGTTGAACGAAGTTCTGCGTTGGCAAAGTTAGGGAGGAACAAAGTACTTAAGGGCCAAAGTTCCCAGAGATCTTTGACGATCTCTGGTTGTTGTCTTAGTGATAGAAGTTGGTGAAGCACGAAGTTAATACACCCCGGAAGTTATTGTCACCTAATTCATATCTCAAAGAGAAAAGCCATTGAAGGTCACAGCCCACAAAGCTATTGGCCGTTGGTCTTGAGAAGTAAACCAAATCAACCCTGTGACACAGTCCTCCTTCATCCAACTTTGCCATACCTCGCATCTGTCACGGCCGTCGAACAACTATTTCTTAATAGACCGACGGTCGACGAACCTCGGCTAACTTCACGCTCTGAGTCGATGTCTCACCCAACCAGGAGGGCGCAGACGTCGAAAGGGGTGTAACTACGGCGTACTTCGGCGTAGTTACTCTAACTAGGGTTTTGTTCTACTGATGGCGATGTATCTTGATTTATAGCTATCTCTATCTGTCTTTCACTACTGACAACAATCAAGGATCGCTGAAGAACTTCAGCGATCTTCTCAGCTAATATTATCTACTCCTCCTAGACGTTCATCCAACCCTCTCGCGCTTTGACGTACTTCAACGCACTTCGTCCAACTTCCCCGAGCCCTCGGCCATCCTCTTCCTCCTTCGACTAACTCCGCCTAACATCGCCGCACTTCTGCTCCCATTGTCCCTACTTAGCCTAACTCCGCCTAACATCGCCGCACTTCTGCTCCCATTGTCCCTACTTAGCCTAACCCCGCCTAACATCGCCGCACTTCTGCTCCCATTGTCCCTACTTAGCCTAACCCCGTCTAACTTCGCCGTACTTCTGCTCCCATTGTCCCTACTTAGCCTAACTCCGTCTAACTTCGCCGTACTTGGTGTCAGAAGTCCTGAGTTACGTGTAGAGTAAAGAGGTTAAGGCGTGATGGGGTTTTGATGGCCAAAGGAGGGTCATTGTTGGTGGAGTAATCGAGGTGTCACGACGTAGTTCGTGACAGTCGCCCCCTTCTTTAGCCGCGAACGTCCTCGTGAGCGATTACACCTCTGTCGTGGCAAGAGAACTTAGCAGCGTAGTACCCCATTCTCTCCCTCCCCATGACCATCCTCCACTCTTCTGCTCTTTGCGCCGCACTTCGTAGTTGGGCCTCCTTTCACTCCAGAACCCGACAATGAGACTCCCCTAACTTCGTCGAGGTTTGCCGTAAGAAGCCCTGTGTCTTTTGTAGGTGAGACACGCTTCCTGAATGGCAGCCGAACAACACCGTTGTTTGTCGAAGTAACCCTCGCTTATATTGAGATGAGACACTATAGCGTGGGAATTTTGATCGTCCCTGCGATGCCTTTTGTTGATGAAACGCGAAGTTTGCTGCATGTTGACGACGAGGGGTTAGGTTTGATTATACTAAATACTGAGCAGTTCGTCGAGCTTCTCTCTTTTTCCCATCTGCTTTCAAAACTTTCTATCTCTCTTACCTAGAAAACAGATTTGTTACCTTGAATCATCGCCTCGAGTTTTATTCTCATTTAAATATCTTAACGTCATGGCCCCTTCTACTCCTACACCCAGCCCTTTCGCCGCCATGAGGAACTTTGGTGGTATGGTGTCATCTGCTCGTGAGTTTTCATCGATACTCACCCTACCTCGCCGAACTTGGCTGATGTTCAGTTTCTTTCGGCGACAGATCTCGCCAAGTCTCCTCCCTCGGCCTCGGCACTCTCTCTCTGGGGGAGCCGTCTGGCGCTGCCCCGCCCCCTCGCTCCGCCTCTCCCTCCGCTGGTTCTCCCGTCCCCGTAACGGGTTCTCCTGGAGGGCCTCCTCCTGCCGCCACTCCTCGCCGTAGGACGCCCGCCTTTCGTCCTGGTGAGTCTCCGTCCTCCTCCGACCAGGACTCGCTCAGTGGGGGCTCGGAGTCGGGTGATCGACCCGACACCGAAGAAAGTGAGGATGATGATGATGGGGAGGGTAGGATCGATAGTGAGGGTGAAAGCGAGTTAGAAGAATACCCGGATGATGATGTGGAGGTGATTAGTGTAGAGGACAACAACGTAGATAGTCCTGAGCGTGAGTTCTTCGTCCAACCCCTCACACCTTCGCCGAACTTGGCCTTGTTTATCTGTTCTTTAGCTCTCCAAGACATTGCTAACTCGCAGCCGGTCCTGCCCCTCCCCCTGCTCAAATTGTGGGCCAGAAACGACGCCGTTCCCTCTCTTCTTCTTCTTCTTCCTCTTCTTCTTCTTCCTCTTCTTCTTCCTCTTCCGGGGTTCTCCCCCCCCCCCAACGCCATCGCCGCTGCCGCCGCTGCTGGTCCTGCTGCCGCCGCCCCCGTCGCTGCTCCCCCCCCTTCTCCCAGAGGGGAGCCTTCGCCCAAACGGGTGAAGAGATCACTGCGGGAAGAAGAGTACTTGTGGGAGAAGATGAAGTCCGAGCCTGGTCGTTGGATCGCGGTTGGTGTTGACGAAGCGTGTGATCGTTGCCGGTGAGTCCACCTATTCGTTCTACGCCGAAGTTACTCCTGCTAATTAGTAGACGTGAGATTATCACGTATAATCGTCCAAACTGGCCCTGCCTCAAGGCAGTCAGGCCACACAACAAGGCCCTCCGTTGTGCTTCATGCACGTCTGGCCCCTGCTCCTTCTGTCCCGTTTCCTCTGCCCGGGACATCCCGCCCCGTCCCTCCGACTCTTCGCCCTTCCCCCCTCCTCAGACTCCAGCGTCTGCCCCCCGTTCGCGGGTACCTCCTTCGTCTCTCCGGTCGGTTCGCCGTACTTCGCCGGACCTCCGCCCGTCGCCTCCGTCGCCGTCGCCCTTCGCTCCTGTGGCCGGCCCATCACGTCTCCCGGCTGTTCCTCCTTCGTCTTCTCGCCGTCCTTCGGTCTCTGCTCCTTCGGCCTCCCGTCCTTCGGCCTCTCGTCCTTCGGCGCCACGTCCGTCCTCTCCAGTGGTAGCTTCTCCTCCGGCTCACAGCACCCGAAGTCGGCGTCCTTCTGTTCCTCCGGCCACTTCGGCGGCCCCTCCCGTCACCCCTCCCTCTGCTTCCCAGAAGACACCGAAGTCTTCTTTAAAGAAATCAAAAGGGAAATCTAAAGAGAAGGAGGTTGCCTTCAATGATGGTGATGTGGAAAATGAAGATACTCAGCGTGCTGGTCCCTCTGCTCCCCGTGCTGGTCCCTCTGCTCCCCGGTTGTCCCTCGTCCACCCTCGTATCTCCCTGGACGTCCGTATTCCTGAGGACGAAAAGGAATTTGCCACTTATCGTTCTCTCGTCCTCGGTCTCACTACTCAGCTTGAGGCCGCCCGAAATGATACATCTCTCCTGCTTGACTTCTCTTCTCGTCAAGCTAACGCTTTAAACAATCTTACTGCGGCGTTAGTAGATGTAGTCAACACTGGGGCTCTGGACGACGAAGCAAGGACAAGGTTAGCGGACGTCTCTCGCCGAAGCCTTACTGAGATAGCCGATGTTCGCCGAAGACTGTTCGACACCCCCTTCCTAGTCACTCCTATGGCGTATGAGCCACCACCGTCCCTTGACTGGTTAGGTCGCCGTAGTAATTCTCGTGTCCCAGCTTCCGCCCAGACTGCTCTCGACCTCCTCAGTCTTCCCTTCGAGTGTCTACGGACCATACGTTCTCTGTGGAGGACCCCGAGCATGCAAGCTGCTCGAGATGTCCAGGACTTCGGTGACTTCTTTGGGGCTATGAATCGGGCATGGAATGCTTCTCTCTCTACTGCGTTCCCGTCTGAGACTCTCGATCTACCTTCGGTCATCGGTAGCCTCCACACCAATCCCGCGGGACCGAGTAGATCGAAGGAGAAAGGAAAAGGAAAAGGTAAGGGTAAGAGTAAGGACAAGTGAGCGGTACGTAGCTGTAATCCTATGTTGTATGCAGTACGTTCTATCTCCTAGCCCTTCGCAGTCGCCCTTCCTTCGGCTTAGTAGGGTGAAGTTCGTGGAACTTCGCCAATATGTCATCAGCTCCATCGACGTTCTCCACTGGTTCCCATGATACTGAATCGTCTGTTCCTTCGTAACCTAACCACTCCACCAAGTACTCTAACTTTCCTGACCTCTTATTTACTCTAGAGTCCACAATATCCTTTACCTCCCAAGACTCTCCCACATTGTCTACTTCTACTGGCCCAGGTGGCTCAGCTTGCTGACCAGGAAATATTGGAGGGTGATAAGGACGGAGCAAGGAGACATGGAATACATCATGGATACCTGCCATCGTTCCTGGTAATTCCAATTTACAAGCATGAGAACCTACCTGCCGTACTACCTTGTACGGCCCACTTTGCTTAACATCTAACTTCTTCATTGGTCTCTTCGTCTTAATATTCTCTAACGACAGCATCACTAGGTCTCCTTCCGCGAAGTTCGGCGTAGTCCGGTGTTTCCTATTGTATCCTTCGGCGTACTTCTCATTAGCTTTCTCAATTCCTTCGATACAATCTTTGTGTATTTCAGTCAAGTCTTTTACCACCACCGTAGCAGCGGGCACTTCGACCTCGCTAGCCTTTATCTCTTCAGCCCAACGAGGGTGATATCCATAGTTCGCATAGAATGGGGTTTTGTTTATCGCAGAGTGCTGGGTGTTGTTGTAAGCAAAGCTAGCTCGAGCGAGTAGCTTTGACCAGTCGTTCTGCTGATAGGAGGTGAAGATTCGAAGATACAGTTCCAAAGACTGGTTGGTTCGTTCGGTCTGTCCGTCAGTCTGTGGATGATATGCAGTAGAGAGATGTAGTCTTATTCCGAGACTATCGGTCAAATTCTTCCAGAACTTGGAGGTAAACTTCGATCCCCTGTCCGATACTATATTCTCTGGCAACCCATGCTGGGCCACCACATAGTCCAATATCAACTCTGATAGGCCGGCTGCGGTTAACTTCGTCGTAGTCGGGATAAAAATGGCCCATTTGGTCAACCGATCCACCACTACCAGGATGGAATTATATCCATGGGAATTTGGCAGCTCCTCGATAAAATCCATCGAGATGCTAGACCAAGGTTTCGTAGCTACCTCCAGTGGTTTAAGCTCCCCATGAGGTTTCTGCCTGTTAGTCTTCGCTCTCTGACATACCGCGCATCCAGCAACATAATCTTCGACATCCTTCCTTACTCCAACCCAGACATAATCCCTCAGGACTAGTTCAAGGGTCTTCGCCGAACCTGGATGACCGGCCAAGGCTGAGTCATGTCGCATCTTCATGATCTTCAGCCGAGCATCGGCGTAGTTCGGCACATAAATGCGATCGTCGAATGTGAGGAAACCTCTTGAGTTCCACCCCCCCACGAAGGATTAGAGGAGACCGCGAACTACGGCGTAGTTCGGTGATTGATCCTGGTTCCTGCACGTTATCGTTACACGTAGGATGAGAACACTCAGCGCAAACGACTCCTAATAATTCTTCTCTGACCCCTTCTATGTCTTCGTCCTCCTGAACTCCAAGTACTAGATCCATAGGGTCCACAAGATCATTTTCCTTTACCTCCCTTGTCCCTTGCAATGCTCGAAGGAGGTGACGCAACTCCGACGTGGTGGCGTCAACTTCGTCGAACTTCGGCAGACCTTGGATAAGGTTGCTCTCTTGTACCATGGTACTTCCTTTCCCGGAATGATAGTCCGCCCGTCTAGATAATCCATCTGGAAGACTTGCCTGGGTTCCTGGCCGATAAACCATTTTAAACCTGAAGTTAGCTAGCTCCTCTACCCACCTACCTTGCCGAGGACTGAGTTGTTTCGGTTCCATCCAGTAGGTAAGGTTTAGATGGTCGGTAAGTACTGTGGTTTCTACCTGCAATAATAAGTGTCTCCTTCTTCTGAAACCCTCCACTACAGCGAGGAACTCCTTTTCTCCTACCGTATAATTCAGTTGAGCTGTGTTGAAAGCACCAGACTCAATAGCTACCGGGTGTTCTTGACCAGCCGTGTTGATCTGCGAAATTATGAACCCCCAGCCGAAGAACGACGCATCTGTCTGTAATATCGTCTTCAATGTAGGGTCAAAATGGGCTAATACCGGCGCAGTACACATCCTAGCCTTCAACTCTTTGAAGGCTGACTCCTGTTCGACTCCCCATACAAATGGTACCTCCTTCCTTGTCAAGTCATTGATAGGTCTAGCAATCTTCGAGAAGTTGGGGACAAAGCGCCTGTAATAGCTTACTACTCCAATGAATCCCCTTGACTCTCGTAGATTCTTAGGACGTGGGAAGGAAGTGATGGCATCAATGTATTCTGGGTTCACCGATACACCTTTAGAGGATACCACGAAACCCAGAAACACCACCGAATCTCTTTCGAACTCGCACTTACTAGCTTTCACGTACAGGCTCGCCTTCCGCAGTACCTCAAAGACCTTCGCCGTACTTCCTCGTAATTCCTCCAACGTATTCCCATAAATGAGGATATCGTCAATGTAGACCACGACTCCATTCCCTAGTAGCTCTCTAAACACCTCATTTAGGAAGTGTTGGAAGACCGCGGGGGCGTTTCGCAGCCCATCACGAACAACCAGAGATTCAAACATACCATACTGTGTCCTGAACGCCGTCAGGTGTTCATGTCCCTCTGTCACCCTCAACAATTGGTATGCTCCAATTAGATCTAGTTTGCTGAAATACCTTGCTTTTCCAAGTTCCTCAGTAATTTGACCTATTAGAGGGAGAGGGTAGGCATCTGGTATGGTCGCTTCGTTCAGTTTTCGATAGTCGATGACCATTCGCCATTGTCCTTCGGCTTTCTTCGGTATCATAAACATTGGTGAGCCGTATGGCGAGTTACTTGCCCGAATTCGGCCAGCGGCGATTTCGCGATCTAGTATGTCTCTCAGCGCGCGTCTCTGATCTTCTCCTTGAGCATAGAGGGAGGCGACCTTAAGGTTCGCCCCCTCCTTAAGCTCAAACTTCAAATCGTAGGACCTTGAAGGGGGAAGGGTCTCTCCTCCCTTCTTCGGATTAAAAACGTCAATGTACTGGTGGTATTGTTCAGGAACTACCTGGAACAACTCGTCTTGTTCCTCCGGGCTCAGCTCTTCAAGCTCATCTTCGCCGCGGAGGTCTATCGCGTCCGTCGGAGTCGGCAGCCCTATGGCCGCTAACTTCGCCGCACTTGGTGGGGTTGGGATGGGAAATTTCACCGAGTTGTCTCTTCCATCAAGGACAACCCCTTCCTTCCTCATCCAATCCCACCCTATCACAACATCTGCGTCGCAGAGCGTTGTTACATCGAGACAAACAGATCGCCCTTCGGCGTCCTTCGTCAAACTAAATCCGACTTTGACAAACTCGGTGATGGGTCCAGCGACACTCACCGAGCCGTCGAACATGTGAACGGGTACGCTCACCTGATATCGCCTCTTTTCTACACCTATCTTCGCTGCCGCCCTAGGGCTTATATATGAACAAGTAGCTCCAGTGTCCCAGAGCGTAGTTAGCTTTATTCCATTAATGAAAATGTCCGATTTAGGTTGATCTCTGGAAACGGAAGGGATGAGGAGATGATTATCGACATTGCATGAACAAGGGGTACTGAGTGGTGTATTTTTGTATTCACAATCCTCTGGCTCCATCAGCTGTGTTTCTTTTATGGGTTTGGGAATGGTGGCCGAGAGAATATGGCGGACCCGCCGAGCCTCGCCTACTGCGACAGGTCCTCTTCTTTTCCCTGGTCCTCTTCCAAATCTACTTCTCCTCCAACCGCATTCAAGTTCCTCCTCTGTCCGAGAGGTACTGCGTTCCCTCCCGATCCTCCACCACGTTCTCCGAACTTCCCCCCCCATGGAGGCAACAGTCCAACCTTAACCTTAGCCTCCCTTACAGGGCATTCCTTCAGCCAATGTCCTGCTTCACCACACTCGGTACACTTCCCCTCCTTCCTCCTTGTCTCCCTCAGATCGGAGCTCGGCCTAGGCCATCTTCGGCGAACTTCGTCGATGTTTGGCGGTGTACTCTTTACCACCGTCGACATCATAGCCGCCTGGACACCACCCTGCGCCGAAGGTTGCCCCTTTTCCCATTTCTTCTCTTCTTTCTTCTCCGTCCTCTGACTTTCCACCACTGTCGTTGTCCTTATCCCTCCTTCCCTTTTCCTCTCTGCCTCCTTCTCCACTTGTCTCCTCCACAGGCGGTTGTCCAAGGGAATCACAAACTCCAATAACTCTTTCACAGTCCCAAACGATCTACCGTGTCTTGCAATTTCATCTAGAAGGTGCGATTTTAGCCCTTTCTTGGCTCGGTCAAGTAGGTTTCCATCATCAGACCACTTAAGAATCGCAACATGTCGCTGGAAGGCGGAGAAGTAGTCCGAAGCAGACCCGGTTTGCTTGAGGTCGTTAAGTTGTCGGGCCGCAGTTCCTTCTTCGTCTGGATCACCAAAGTTAGTCTTGAGGTACTTAATGAACTGATCGTGTGTCGTGAGGTACTCAGGAAGAGGTCTTTTGGATAGATCGGGCTGCACTGCAAGAAGAGGTGTTTCGCGTAGATGAGAGATCATGAAAAAGACTTTCTTAGTGTCGTCGGGGAAAAGATGAGAGTTCAATTCGAAATGTACGTCGCACTCAGACAGAAAGGCGGTTAACTTGTTCCGATCTCCTCTCCAGAGGTCTGGGTTAGGTAGCTTTATCCCCTTCCGTTGTTCGCCCACTACGCTTGGGGTCGCCGAAGTTTGCCGTCCCATGGCGTACCTCACTCCTTCTGATATCCCTTCTGCAATCCCGCCCACTGTATCCCTTTCTCTTCTCTGTTCCCATTCCTCCCTACGCCTTCTCTCCTCCATCATGTCTTTGTTCATATTCGCCACCATCTGCATCAAGGCCAACACCACCCCTTGTGTTCCTTCTTCTCCCAAGTTCGCCGTACTTCCAGTGTTTTCTCTTGGGCGTGGGGTTTGGTCTGATCCAAGTGGGGATCCCGCAGGTGGGAGAGCATTAGACGGAGGAGAAGGAGGGTTAGAAGGCACCGGTGGAACGAACTCATCTCCTTGAATTGACCCCCCCACACTATCCTCCACTCCAAGGTCCTGCCCCATTGCTCTGCTAAGCTCCTCCAATGCTCTCCTCTCGTTCTCCTCCATCCTGTCTCCATCCCTACTCATCCCTCGTGTAATTCTTCTTTCTGGTTCCATATTATCTTTGTACTTCTCCGAGGTTCGCACGGGTCGTCGGTAAGAGCGATCCTTGATACTGTCACGGCCGTCGAACAACTATTTCTTAATAGACCGACGGTCGACGAACCTCGGCTAACTTCACGCTCTGAGTCGATGTCTCACCCAACCAGGAGGGCGCAGACGTCGAAAGGGGTGTAACTACGGCGTACTTCGGCGTAGTTACTCTAACTAGGGTTTTGTTCTACTGATGGCGATGTATCTTGATTTATAGCTATCTCTATCTGTCTTTCACTACTGACAACAATCAAGGATCGCTGAAGAACTTCAGCGATCTTCTCAGCTAATATTATCTACTCCTCCTAGACGTTCATCCAACCCTCTCGCGCTTTGACGTACTTCAACGCACTTCGTCCAACTTCCCCGAGCCCTCGGCCATCCTCTTCCTCCTTCGACTAACTCCGCCTAACATCGCCGCACTTCTGCTCCCATTGTCCCTACTTAGCCTAACTCCGCCTAACATCGCCGCACTTCTGCTCCCATTGTCCCTACTTAGCCTAACCCCGCCTAACATCGCCGCACTTCTGCTCCCATTGTCCCTACTTAGCCTAACCCCGTCTAACTTCGCCGTACTTCTGCTCCCATTGTCCCTACTTAGCCTAACTCCGTCTAACTTCGCCGTACTTGGTGTCAGAAGTCCTGAGTTACGTGTAGAGTAAAGAGGTTAAGGCGTGATGGGGTTTTGATGGCCAAAGGAGGGTCATTGTTGGTGGAGTAATCGAGGTGTCACGACGTAGTTCGTGACAGCATCCTCTGCTCACTTCGCTGCAGTTCGCCTTGCTTCCACTTACTTCCACTCTCCACCCTGCATTGCTTGATCTCCTTCTCCAAACTTTGCCGCACTTCTCCGCTAGGCAGGGTTGTTGTTACTAATACTCCCTAGGTTCTTGAGGAAGCAAACAACGGACGGGCATTTGGGGATGTAGGCCAAAATGCGTCAAAGTAGGCCTGAGCGTAAGAGGGTAGAACAATTATCCAGGAGAAGTACATATTAGTAGCTGAGAAGATTGCTGACAAATTTGAGCCATCCTTGATAGTTGTCAGTAGTAGAAGAAAGATAGAGACAGCTACACCTACATTGAAAAACATCCGCAGCAGTAAAACCCACAGACAGAGCAACGTTGCCAAAGTATGTTGTAGTAGCACCCTTTTTGATGGTGCCACTGTATTGTTGGTTGAAACAATGATTCCTGAAAGTACAATGTTAGCTCAGGTTGTCGACCATTGGTCTGATAGAAAGAAGTTGTACAACAGTCGTGACACCCTGGAAGCACAAAGTTAGCCAAGGTCTGTCAACTGAGTCGTGACAGCAGAGTGGTGACAGTGAGTGTCACAAAGGATGTGACAAGTCGAGCAAAAGTTGGGAAAGGGTATTTAAGCAGCAATCAGCGGTAGAGTTAACCGCCGATCAATAAGCTTTTTCATCACAGTGGTTTAGAGCACTGTTCCGCTGGGCACTGTTATATTGTGCCAATGCTGGTTAGTGGGTCTCGTGACAGTGAGATAGCAAACTGATCCATAACAGAGCTTGGATGTGTGATTCTCAAGGTGAAACTACCTACTATGTAGTAGGACGTCAACAATTGTCATTGAGGATCTTGTACTTTATCCACTTTGCTGACTTTTTGATACATCTATTTGGCCATCTTCATAGAGGAGGACATCACACCACATACATCCACATCTTGCCATGTCTAATGAGATCTATTGAGTTCAACCCAACCTGCGAGAGAGTTGTTGTGTTTCCAGTACCATTACAACATCCTCACCACCTGTCTGTCCCTTCTGCGAGGTGTGGGAGTCGAACCACTGACCTGGTGATTTTGAGGCAAGCATGCAAACAGGTAGGACTATGAGTTTGAAGGAAGTGCCACACTAGAAAATCCCTCGGAGTTTGCTCCTTTTTTTCCAGGAACGTCTGGGAAAGAGCCCGTTATATACCGAGCTACGCCCGGGATGAAGGCTTGGTAGGTTTTCCTTTCTCCGACCAATCATTCCTTTCACAATTGCACTCACTGTACAAGTAGAGTACTCTGCAGTACTCACTCCTCTACTACAGTAGAGTATTCGGAAGATCAACAGAATGCACCATCGCACCACAACCAATTACAATACCGTCAATGCATACAGCATCATGATCATGATCAATCCCACTACCCAACATGGTTGATGCTACCTGACACTCCTACCATCTCTCCCCTCCTCTTCCAGACGGCGTACGTCCTTCCGTGGGAGGAGCCATTCCCCCTCCTCTCCCACGACCGCGCCACATGCCAGGTTTGTACACCGCAGTAGCACCATCCGTCGGTCCGTTCGTCGCAACCTGAGCACCAGCAGCTGGGGATGCAGGTGCGACAGGGGACGCCGTGGCAGAACCAGACGTACCCTCTGCTTTCTTTGCGGCCTCTCTTTCCCTCCATGTTCCAGGTCGGACCTGCGTCGGTGTGACAGTCGGCGCTGCAGTAGGAGCGACCGATGGGGATCCAGTACGCAAACCACGGTTTCGACGTTCTTCCGCCTCTCTCTCCCTCTCTTGTTGACGACGAATAAGCTCCAAATCTTTTGCACGTTGAGCTTCCCTTTCCTCCGCCGCCTTCCTCTTGCGCTCCGCCTCTGCTTCCGCTTTGACGCGAGCTTCTTCTTTCGCACGCTCCTCAGCCTCTTGCCGTTCGGCCAAAGCAACACGTTCAGTCTCTTCACGTTCTGCTCGTCAGTATGACGATGAGATAGTATACTGATATGACTCACCTAGAGCCAGTCGCTCAGCTTCCTCTGCCTCCCGAAGTTCTTCCTCTCTCCTCTGCTTCTCCTCCGCACGTCGTTTCAACACTTGCGCCTTGAATTTGGCCTTCTCCTCCTCCACCTTTCTCTGCGCGGACATACGAGCTTTCTGGAACTCGGCATCACGTTTCGACTCTACGGCTTGTCTGACGACCAGATAATCAGGTAGCATTCTCGACAATCTCTCTTTCGTCTCTAGCGCCTCTTTGTGAGTCGCGATGGCAGTCTCACGAGCCTGTTGAACACCCTTTTCGTGCTCCACTCGGTCCTCTTCCTTCTGTCGTTCATAATCTACTCCTACTAGAGGACGCTCCACCTTACGCAGAGCACGTTCGTAATGATCCAACCTCTTGCCCACTATACGCATCTTCTCCGTCATCTCCCGTTTCTCCTTGGCGAACTGCTCCACCTGCAGCTGAACAATCTCGTTGGTGTCCAGATCTTCCACAGCTTTGAGGTCCACCTTGAAACCACTCCTCGCTGCCAGCGTCTCAGCTAGCTTTCTCGCCTCTTCTCTACGGCTCGCTTCGATCGTCTCTTGTAGCTGAGCTTTCGCATTGGCCTGTTCCAGTTCCTTCAGTCGTCGGGCATTCTCCTCAGCCAACGACCTGGCACGTTCAGCACGAGCGGTCGACTCTTCCTTGTCACGCCGCAGCTTGGCCTCTTCCATAAGCTCGCGTCTTTTGACAACAATTTGTCGGCGGTGTGCAGCTTGCTTCTTGTCCTCCTCGGCAGCTTCGATAGCAGCAGCGAATGCCTCGGCTCTGGACGAAGTGGGCGGGTTGAGATACTGGATCGTGTTGTACAAGCACACGGCGAGGTCGGAGAGGCGATTCGTGTCACTGTTGGGAGCGACAAAACTGATAGACTGAGCGCCATGATCAACTGTGGCATCGATGTCACCTTGACGACAAGCGGACATGAGAAATTTCTCCAGAGCAGGCATGTCAGTGGCCCAAGCAGTACCATCGAAAGGTTTGACGAGGGATAAAATGTGGGAAAGGGAGACGGTGTCGTACACTTGCGAGAGTTCCTGCAATAGGCGAGAGAGGACAACATCGCGCAAGGCAGGAAGATATGGTTCGTATTCGGCAGAGAGAGTGGACAGGAGAGGGGCGAGGTTGCTGCATGCTTTCAGAGGCTGGAAATCGACTTCAATGATCTGATATAATTGACGGATGGTGGGAGGAACGCGCCGAAGATGTTTTGCAGCAGCGTCCGATACGAGTGCTTCTCTGGTAGGCATTTTGGGCAAGTTGAGAAGAGAGACAAGCCGTTGTTTCGTCTCGACCGCTCCAAGAGGTACGGCCAAAGCACTGAGTAGAACACAGCCAGCGGCTTTGTCGGTGACCGTACCGGCACGTTCGGCGGACTGGTAATACCTCGACCAAGCTGCAGCATGAAAGACGGCGGTTTGCTTACCTCCTTCCGCTTTGAAGATCTGAGTCAACTTTTCGTAGTATGTCGCCATCATACTCGGTTTTGCAACCTTTCTCCCTGCCACAAGACCATGGATATCTTCCACAGAGCGGAAGGCTTCCTGCCATAATTCCAACTGGACAGCCGTCTCCAATTGCAGGAACCGAGTGTCGAGATGACGAGTGAACGTCTCCGGGTCGGATAAGTTGATAGAATGTTGTTGATGGGCATATTTAGCGGCATTCGAGAGGTCCTTTCGCAGTCGTTGCTCGCACAAACGTCTAAAGTCATTCTTCCTCTGATGCGTCTTGCAAAACTCGAAAGCTCTATAAGCGATATTTTGGTAGACGATTTCGAGTCGGTCATTTCCCTTTGCGACGTCGAGGGCGATGTCGTATGCATCCCAGCAGAATTTCTGAGCGGGGGCGATAAGACGACGCTCAATCCTTTCTCTATCACCCGCACTATCGATGAAAGTGTCGAGCAATAATGCGCTCGGTTGAAGGGGAAGGTCGTCATTGTCCGAGGTAGCAGGAAGAGCAGCGACTTCGGTTTCCGCTTGTTTCATGGCTTCCGCAAGTTTGGTCTCTGCCTTGTCGATCAAATGTGTGATTACTTTCTCGATCGAGGGGATGTTTGTGGTCTGAGCCGTGTTTTTGAATGTGAGAAGTCCATCTTTGGCCAGCTGCTTGCTGTGATAACGTACACAGAAGTCGAGGAAACGCATGACAATGGGTTCGAGGGTTGAGACGGCAGTCTGCTTAAATCGTTTTCTAAAAGGTCAATTTTGAGGAGTGACGCGGTTTGGACACTTACGAGTGAAACACCTCTGTGAGATTTTCGAACGCCTGCTGCTCCGCCTGGGGTGTACCGAGAGCCAACAGCTCCTCGGAGCGCTAGACTGATCAGTATGTTTGTGCTGGAGATCTATGTAGAAAGGGAACCAACCTTGAGAGCATTCTCGGGTTTCACGTAAATGGGTGGCATGATGGTGAAATGAGAGTCGTCTGCTTATAGTACTATACGATGTAGTAGAGCTGACAGAGTCTTCCTCGTCGCCTTTGATAGCTACGATTTATCGACAATGTCGCTTTCGGGTGGTCAAGATGTAATTTGGACAGCCAAGTTGGCTTAGGAGCTTTTGTCTCGGCGAATATCGCCGTAACGCCGAGATGAGTGTGGCGATCGGTCATCAGCTGGCGTTCGGTCGGTGGCCACGGCCATGACGCACTGGAATCATCCAAACGTTGATCCCCCCCTTCAATTCTATCACATACACAGTACAAGTGCAGTACCCGTACAGTTGTCTCGAGGGAGCGGGTATCCACAAGAGCATAAGTATATACTGGTATCACCGCAAGTGTCCTGAAACCACAACAATGTCGTCTCGATCGGGTCCTGCGCCATTCTGGATATGTCATGAGGTGAGTTTTCAAGGAATCACTATAGTCTTGCAGAGGACTGACCTGTCACAGTGCGGTGCTCAGATGAGACCTATCATGGTATGTCTGACTATTCACATCTCCGTTCTTGCACCTTCTGACATGAGTAGATTGACGAGATCCCACATTGTGCATCATGTCATGGGGAATTCGTAGAAGTGGTCAGTTTTTCCTCCCTGTGGCTTAGGAGGATGCTCATCATGGGTAGCTGGATCAGGAAATCAATCCTGATCCATTCCATGAACTCCCTCATCCTCCCACTCGTCCTTCCCAATTACCCCCAAGGATACCTACAGAAAATCGTCCTCCAGGCTCTCCCCCAGCCGAACCATCAGGTATCCTCGGATCTATATTTGGGCTTTTCCAAGGTAATCCGGAAAACCACGTTCACCCTCCTGCTCTCCCTTCGAACCCTCGTACAGTGGGAACAGGAGATACTTCAACAACGAACAGAGGTGATGGGACACGTACTTGGACTTTCAACATTGGAGGAGGAAGAGGTAGTGTGACGTTCGGTACGATAGGTGGAATGGGGCCAGGTATGGGGATGGGTGGTGGTAATGTTGATGATGAACTCGGCAACATATTCCCAGGTTTCCCACGTGGACTTGGAGGACAAAACCCGTTTCCTAGTATTGATACTGAGATAGGTCCGAATACTCAACAAGGTCCCGCAATGGTCAGTCGTACTTTTAATCCCTGCAAAGGATGGTGAACTGATAGAACAGTTGAGAGCGTTGATGTCTGCATTGATGGATGAAAATATGTTGCCTGCGCATTTACAAGAACCCATGTTTCTTGGACCTCAAGGGATGGTGAACATGGGTGATTATGTCGCTACCGAACGTAAGTCTCCTTCCTCCCAGGAGGATATCGAAAGGTAATGATGTTATAGAGGGTTTCCATGATGTGTTGGAACAACTCATGCAAGCTGCAGGTCCACAGGGACCGTTGCCAGCTACGGATGCTGTGATTGAAGGTTTGCCGAGGTACAAATTAGACGAAAAGGCTTTGGAAACAAGTCAGTTTAAGGACTGTCCCGTTTGCAAGGATGATTTTGCTGTTGGAGATGAGGTGATGCGGATACCTTGCAAGTGGGTTTCCATCTTTCTTTCCCCTCCTTGTCTGTTCTACATACCTTCGTTTCCTTCTTAGTCCGTATGATCCTCTCCACCTGTCCTTCTATGCTTCTCTTCCCCGTGTGTGCTTTAAAGGTATATCTTCTGCTCTCTCCCTCCGGGGCGAAAATGATACATTTTCCGACCCGTAGTGAGAGAGCGAGAGCAAGGTAGAAAGTTAACGATACAGACATATCTTTCATCCTGACTGTCTACAACCCTGGCTCAAAGTCAATGGCTCATGTCCCGTTTGGTGAGTTTTTCGGATCTCCAACCAGACTGATGCTCATCTCCCCAGCCGATTCTCTCTCGTACCGGACGAAGTAAATCATCCAGAAAGCTCCACCGCTCCCAATGTAACCCAACAACCCCAGCAAAACGCAGGAACAGCAATCACCAACATGCTCAATAGATTATGGGGTCAAAGTGGAACTACGAGTCCTACTTCTCCCCCTACTTCTGGCCCATCGCGACAGCCGGACAATCTTCCAAACCCGTCGAACCCTCCCAATATCTCCAATCCCCCCAGTCAGGCAAATCCCACTCCTGATCCAGCAACATCCAACTCCGGTGTTCAAGCTTCAGAACAATCACAGTCGTCAAACTCATCTGCTCCTTCCGGTGATGCTGGAATAACCGCACCTATTTACCCGACGATCATTCCTGCCGAGTATCTCAGAAGACATAGAGATCAAGAACGAGGCCAAAATACACAAAATAGTCAAAATAATCAGAGTGCTGGTGCTGGTAATCAAGGAAGAGATGATTCACCATTCGAGTCAGTTGTAGACCATCTATTTTGGTAATTTGGACTGATGGTCAGAGATGATCTTGATTTAGACTGAATCGATCCGGTGGAGACAAGTGAAAGTATGGAGAGAGAAGTTGTATAGTTTGTTTAATTTTGCATTGAATAGATTCATGTGTATGCATGTTTTGCTATCACTCGATATTGTATATGGGTTTTGACAATTGTCAAAGTCTTACTTTGACATGTTGTACAGCTCATCCAGAACGTGTACTGTACAGGCTCATTGAGAGTAAGAGTAATCGGAGGAATCGGTAGTATTGGGGGAATTCCCAAATCCATGTTTCGTCCAGAGTTCTGCTGTTGCCAAACTGAGTAGGATAGATTCGGGCTGGGAATTAGCTAGACACTCATTGACAACTACATATGTTCGGCTTCCTTCGTACGGAGACACAAGGTGTGGGCAATTGTGTATGTGTATGGAGAGAATGAGAGAAGCATGTAGTTCGTCGACTTACAGTTTCCAATTGTGTATCTCTACCTCTTCTACTCCTCATCCCTTCTTCTTTACCAGATCTATCAGAACGAAGTATCATACTACCACCTCTTCCTTTTCTCCCTTTTGTCTTAATCTTCAACGGTGCAATTTTTCTTTCTTTCTCTCCAAAGTTCTTCTCCTTCAAAGAGTTCCTGAATTGTCTGAATGATGTCCTTTTTTCTTCCACCTGTTTATCCTTTTTTCCTTCATGATACATTCGATCTCTTGTTGAAAGGTATTCCTCTCGTTGCAAAGAACTCTGCTGTTCGGATAAATTCCCTTGTGACATAACCGCAGGAGTTATTGGCATTTTAGCTGATAATGGCATACCAGTTTCTTCTCCCCAATTTAATTGATGAGAAGGAGGAAGTATAGGTATTCCATCTTCACCATGATAATCAGAAGAAATACCAAATTCAGATCTCGCTGGTGATGTATAATTCCTTACGAAAGCAGCAATAGTATCTCTTTCTTTATTCCTTTTCTTCTCTTCTTCTTCATCTAACCACATGGTCGTTTCACCAGAATGACCAGATTGAATAGGTTGATTTGTTTCATGAAGATATTCCGAAGAAGGAGGATATTCTAATGAAGAAGAAATTTCATCACTATCTTGTCGATGAGGTGGTACTGGGAATCCAAAATTATTAACACTGAATAAAGTAGCAGTTGAAGTTCTACGTGAATCGGCGATTTTCAATCCTGGTTGATCTTTCATAGGTTGTAATATAACGATGTCTGTTGTAGGTGTTGGATCACTTAAATCGGAATAAGCACTGGATGATGATGTACCTGATAATGCTGAATCGGGCGAGAGACATTCTTCCACTTCCACTGATAAGTTGTTTGATGATGATTCTCCAGTCTTGAGAACGGAGGGTTCAACTTGGGGTTTAGCTGAAAGTTTAGGTTTTCGGGTACGGGGACGTGTGGGAGAGTGAGGATCGGATGAATCAATGGAAGAATCGGCTGTACGTTGTCGAAGAGCTAAAAGAAGTGTACCGACACTGGTCCAATCAACATATATACAAAGAAGAAGGGAAGAAGTCAAAACTTACATATGTTCTTCACCTTGTAATTCGATTTGACGTATTTGATCATTACAAATAAATACCTGTCTGGCTACCCTATCGCACCTAGCGGTGATTTTGACCATCGCTTCCACCACTGTAGCCAAAGCATTCCTATCACCTCTGGTACCTTCCTGCAACAAAACCGCCATCTTATCCCTCTGCAATAATAATTTATCATATTTCTCCTTCAACCTCTCCATCTCCGATCTCAACCTGCCCTCCTCCGATATGCTTGTTCGGAGAGATTCAGGGGCGAGCAGACGTGGTGTGGAGAGTGCGAGTGAAGAGAGAGTGGTATCGAGATATTTGTGGAAAGTGGAGTTTCCCAAACTTAAACGTAACGCAGGAGCTGTTTCGGTGCTCCATGGTAAAGGAAGACTTTCAAAACCTCTTCTGGGTGTACCTAAAGAAGGGGTTGAGATGGTAGAGGTTGTGGTCAATAAAGAAGACTTTGATTGAGCGGAATGTGATCGGCGATGAGTAAGTCGGATATATTGTGGGGTTTGAAGAGCACGAAGTTCTGCTAATTGTTTTTCACCAAGACCGAGAAGAGCATCACCGGTAGAAGAAGATCTTCTACGTTCAATGAATTGTTCTCGTGTCGGTAATACCGCGGCACTTTCTGTCCGACGAAGAGGAAAAGATTGAGGAGGAGAAGAAGGTCGAACGGTATGATTACTATCGTCCGAACCGGCTCGTTGACCTAACATCTGTGGTTGTTTCCCAGTGTTCTTGGTTGGTGATTGGTAACGAACATGTGTTCTTGGTTTTGGAGAGATTTGTCGAGATGGTGAAGGTGTGAGGTTGGAAGTACGAAGTCTGAGAGCTACGGGACGATGTTTAGGAGTTTCAGATTGGACCATTTCTGTCGAACGTGAGGGACGAGTTGGAGTGGTGGGTGGTTCAGAGCTTAAAGCATTGACGGTTGATGATCTTTGTCGGCCAGTCGTAGTGTTAGTCAATGAAGCTGATCTAGATAGAGGGGAAGATGTCGTGGAAGCCGCACGACCATGTGTGTGAATTCTTGATCCATAAGAAGATGGAGGAGTACCAAAACCAGCCATTCGTTGTTGATATCGCTATCTCATTAGCATTGTCCTCACTGGATGCGAATGACCATGAGCTTACCCGGTTGGGAGAAACGTTGATAGGCTGTGCAATTCGAGATTTTCTCTTCTCCTCCGATGTATCAACAGGGGTAGGGGGAAGAGGAATGGTAGGAGGTGGTCCACTAGGAAACGAAGCATCAGATGGTCTTCTAGCTTTGGCAGGGGACTTGACAGAAGTGGGAGTGAAGTCGGTTTTGCCTGATGAATTTTTTCGTAAAAGTGATACCGATGGGGTTTTCTTAAGATCGTTGGATCGTATAGGCGAAGGACTAGAAAACTTGAACGAAGAAGGTGGATTACGATCTGTTTGAGGGGAAGAACCGAATTCAGGACTATTGGAAGCGGGTGAAGCAGAGGGTATAGGAGTAGAATTGGAAGTAGGTGTGGACCGGCCACTTTTGAAAGAGAAAAAGGTTCGCATTTTTCGTACAGACACAGTCAACAGGACAACCTGAAAAAAGAAACAAAAGACCGGGAAGAAGGAAGAAGGGGAGACAGTAATGAGAGTGGGGACTGGGGTTTTGGGGATAAGGGTCAGTCGAGACATTTGTAAGATAAATAAGTAAATGGATCATCAGTCGTAGATCCCTGACGGTAGCTGCTTACGCTGCTAAGAAACGGATACCGTCCGTCGTCAAGAACGGTCTTACTATCTCCATTAGCATGCGGACGAGCCATTGGCTGGATAGGGATCCCTCGTTTCATACGAGACAGATTGGGTTATTCGAGGGTCATACAGTTCATCAAGCGTTCCACCCCTTGAGCGAGTGGTTCAGGTCCGCAGAGGACAGAGACGGATCTGATGATAGCGGGGTGGCTTGAGTATGGGAACGTGCCACCCGGAGAACGGGAGAACGGGAGAATGTGTCACGGTCAGGCAGACTTGGGGCCTGGTATAGAACATTTTCTGAAAAAGAAGGACAAAGCTGAGGAGAGATCCGTCGTGAGGCAGAGTATAAAAACGATGGGACCTGGTTTGAGGTGATTCAAGGTTGATCGTGCGGTTGGCGTTTGGCGCAAGAGATGGAGGAACGCTCAGTGCCTGAGTTGATAGCGAGAATGATGGTGTCCGGGTGAGTGACATGTTGTCAAGGTGAGCGTCATGGTGGAGGGCGATATATGTATGTTCAGTCGTCCAGTAGTATGTGTGGCCTGTCCTGTAGGTAATGGTATGGAGTTGAAAAAGGTTGGAACCCTGACATCAGAAGGCGATAGTGAATGGCCAGCGACATCGTGGCGTGAACGTGTGCAAGCACAGAGGTCCAGCCGGGCGCAGAGAAATATCGCGAGAAGTAAACCCCGTAGGGTTGTAACGCTTCTCACAGCGTTAAGAACAGATACTACACATGATCTTAGCCAAAAGAGGCCAGAGAGGATACTAGATATGCTTTTCGTTCATCTTCGGGTCCTCCACCGCCGCTACCGCCGGGCTTTTCGGAGTTGAGCGGTTGGCTCAGAGTCTCAAAGTGGGTGTGGCGTGGGGGACCTCCACTCGATGTGTCCACTTTCAGCTTTCTTTCCTTCCTTTCTTCAGCACCGCTCTAGCGTTGACTTTTACCTAGGTGTCCTTGGCATCTCTGACAAACTCGCACTCATCATGGACTCTGTATATTTGTCGTCATGACTCGGTTGTTGTCCCGATTTTTACATATCCTCGTGTTACGAGCTGTACAGTCAGTGGCATACGGTCTGTGGTGTGGGAAGCACTATGAACTCGGTGCTCTCAACGTTCCTCCCGCACCGGAAAGTCGTTTCACCTCCCCGCCCATCTCTCCTCAGCCTTTACTCAACTTTCGCTGCTCAACATCTAGCTCCATATACATAGCGGGTGATTTGAAGGATCATCCAGGAATCATCATTGATGCGGAGGTTACGAATGACGTTGGTCAACCATGTGAGTCCTCGTTAAACAAATCATCTCCAACGCTAATGATGGTCAGACGAAGGCACCTTGGGGCAAGCCTTGAATGTGATCGTTTCGACGAAGGATATTGTACTGGCCAGTGGGTCTGTTGTCCCCGGCACTTCCGGTACTGTGCTACCTCTTGACTTTTCGGCACTCTCTGCAACCGGAGAGTCGTACATCGTCACTTGTACGGCGCAAGCAGGAGTAAATATCTTCACCGTTGAAACTGAGGCATGGTATCTACCTCCGAACCCGTACGGAGGATCCACTGTCAAGGTCGATCGGCATAGTGGGGCCCTGATGGTTGAGGAAGAGGACAGGTGGGAGAAGATATTCCCCTTCGGATGGTATGACGTGAGTGCTCATTTATCTGCCTCTGAATGAAATACTCATCCGGACAGAGCTTTGACCCAGAGGATCGGTCACGACCAAACTCTCTGAGATCGCCATTGAATGTAAGCTGAATGCTGGACAGTCTTCTGCTCAGAGCTGATGAAGGAGGGTGGAGAACCCGTCCAAGTGGCATTGCCTTCACCGGAAAGTGCTATTGGAATCGATGTAAGCAAGCCTATCTGTTGAACTATTGTACTTCTTTGCTCACAATAGCCTTATTTGACCAACATCGAACGCCTTGACCGAGCCAAGAGACAAGGAATGAACATGATACATCCTGTTCCTCCCGTACCCCATTATGCTCCGAACAATGACTGGACGGTCACGTCCACTTACATGGCTCACGCTGAAATTCTCGGTCTTGGTGTAATGTATGACATGCGTCACTGTAAGCTTTCTCTCTATCGTCATCTTTATGCCTGACCATCAGCTTTCACAGATCTTGGTTCAGTCAAGGATCAAGTCGAACGATTTCGTTCTTCCCCAAGCTTACTCGTATGGTACACTTCAGACGAGCCGGACGGTCCCCCGACTTCATTAGACTCCACCGTCGATGCTCGCTCTCTGATCCGTGATTTAGATCCATACCATCCCACCGCTCTTGTACTCAATTGTGCAGACTATTACTTCGCCTCTTACGTCCAAGGAACCGATATCCTCATGCTTGACGTTTATTCAATCGCAATGAACCCCATCTGGTCCAAAAAGTGGTCTACTCCTGTAAACTCCACATTTGGTGCATCTGGCTGCGACAATTGTCAGGGCAATTTCCATGATCTGTCTCGACGAATAGATGAGGCCAAAGCTAGGTTGAGGGTGATGAGAAGAGAAAGGGAGATACCAGTATGGATCGTACCGCAAGCGTTTGATGATCATGGGGATGAATTTTGGTGGAGGGTCCCGACGGGTGATGAGGAGGTTGTTCAAACGATTCTGGCGGTGAATCATGGAGTCATAGGACACTGTGCTTGGTTTGCAAGTTCAGCCACGCCGGATTTATTGGGGGTGAGTACATGTTGACCTTTCATAAATATCTTACCCACCCTTTAAATTATGCTTGGTCTGTGGAAGAATACTGAAGTGATCAGGGAGAGGGAGAGAAGAGTTACACTGGGTTCGAGCTGATCTCAGAACGTCTCATTCATATCCAAACATCTATACGAACAACGTCATTTTCTCCTAGATAACGCCCATACTCGTCGACCTGTACTCACATCCCTTCCTTATCATGACGGAAATGGTGTAGACGCATTCGCTTGGACATCATTTACGCCCCATGGGACAGATATTCTCGTTCTCGCCGCTCACTTGAATTATATCGGACTCGAGGCCAAGACGACTTTTAGTCTCCAACTCTCGGGTCAAATCAAACGGGTTTTGTTCGGGGATGTCAGGAGTACATCGAACGGTGATGTTGTGTTCCGTATGGGACGGACGAGCACCGCAGGGGTCATTTTGCATATCGCGAAAGAGAGTGATACGACGGTCGATATGGATACAGGGGAGATGACCCTGGTGAAGAGACTTGGCAAGGGGAGTGAATTAATGGAGTTGTAAGCTAGTCCTATGCTTCATGATACTCTAGACTGGTGTCAAGATAACTAATGCAGGACACTCATCTGGAGATTTCGATCTCCCAAGCTCAATCTCATGGGCAATGTCATATCTCAAAGTGTCATCCTGGTGTGGAGGGGGTTACTAACCATAATCATGTTTCCTATTCTGTCCACTTCTACAAACCTCGTAAGGGATCGGGTGAAATGTTGTCTTGGTCCTTCTGATGATAGATTTCTAATCTTCTCATGGTCTCAATTTCATATGGAACAAACGAAGATGCATGCTGATCTGTCAAACTCTATGAATCAAATGACATTGAGTCAAGATGACTCCGCGTCAGACACTGAGGGATTCACGACAGAAGGTAGCTTGAGATTCCTGAATATAATGTACGTCGAGCTGTCACAGGGTCTCACTGATGGTGCAGCCAGACGTTCCTCTGGGTCCCTCCAAAACCCTTGAAGTAATACCTTGCCAACTGGAACGCCCGCGAAAAAGTGACAAGTATTGGGCAGTGAGACCGGAGGGAAAAGGTGCTTCATACTGGATATGTCTGAGGGTTTCCATCTGGCCATGATGCTTGCCGTTTGCTGAGCGGCCGTCTCGTCTGGACATTCTTGGGTGGAAAAGTAGAAAGTCCACTGGGAAGGATCAATGAATTGTGAATTGCAGGATGAAAGCACTCACACGTTGAACCACCATTTTACAACGGTAAGAAAACGTGGTTTGTCTCGTTGACGTTCGAGGAACCTCTTGGAAATGATGCTCTTTCTCAGACCTGCTCAGCAGAGGGTCGAGGTACCCCTCCGGACGGTCGTTCTCAAAATAATAAATCCAGTGTTGGCGTGCTATACCCATGTGGAATCCGTCTTTCCCCAGACTGTCTGATTTCAACTCACTAATCATCTTCTTGATCACTTGACTCTCGCGCTCTTCTATAGCACTGCGCTTGAGTGATTCACTTCCATATATAAAGGCGGTCATATTTCGGCTTTCAGTCATATTGTGTAAAATCAATGTTAAAGTGGGAGATGACAGTCTCAAACCTCGAAATCGGCCCTTTATAGACGCAAGGACGACTGAATTTTGTGGGCGGAGCCAGCGACCGTCTCGTCCATAGGCTCCTACCTACTCGAAGAGGCAGAACCCCGAGCCCATTCAACTCAAGGCGATGCGGTCGGATCTGCGCCTTGTTGAAATTCCCACAATTCCCACGCCGCATCGCCTCTTTCCCACGGGATCTCGACGACCGTTTGCCCGTGGGCCCGCGGTTTTATCGCATGTCGGATCTCCTGCCATGTTGCCTGCCCGTTCGGTGTGGGAAATCTCGTCCCACGCATCCTTCTGACCGGTGTATGAGGAAAATGTCAGTGCATGATCCGCCCGATATGGAATGTGGTCCGGTCATGAGGATTGGACGAACCGATGCAATGCACATTCCTGTTATACAAATCATTTCCCCCTAAGATCCAACTGTTACAAACCCAGTGATATCAATCATGATCCCCCACTATGCTGGCGAGTACGATAGGTGATATCATGCCGATCACCAAAAGGCCTGTTCGGAGATATTGTCCTAGTTGTTCGGAGTCGGAGGAATGTTCAGAGGCGTCTATTCGAGTGGGATGAACGTGTGAGTGAGGTTTGGCGGGTGGGGATGAAAGAGGTTGAATGACCGTGGCTACATAAAGGAAAGAACCGCCCTAGATGTCAGCCAGAGCATCATAGGGATGTGCGAAGTTTATGTACAGTTGGCTTTCTTGGTATGAGATGAGTCGAGGACTCACAGAGAATAACAATGCAATTCCTGTCCACCAACCTAATCCATCTGTATCGCTCGTCGAACTCCCCAGACCTCTCCAGCCGAATGCTTTCACTAGCAGATACGTGAGAATGGCTCCTAGTGGTGCGGCGAGGGAGAAGATGAACAGACGTTTTCGAATGGACGGAGGGGATATGGAGAGGGAGAGGAGGGTGGTAGTTAAGCCAAGAGCTGTGGGGCCTGGTCGTGAGTCAATCGGCCTTGTTCCCTGCTTTTCTGGAGAGTCATCCAGCCCATCTCAGTGTCCTTGTATCATTCACGTTTGACCTGGGAGCGGGAACTCTCCCTGATTCTGATGGCTGACAAATGAATCAACTATGCCTAGTCATAACACGATTATTTTGGATGGAGAATGAATGCCACACTCTCGCTGGCCTCTCATAGACAAGCCCCAGAAAGCGTGCAGGAGGGAGGGGACGGGGGTATAATCAGAAAGGAAAGGCATTGAGAGAGAACATGAGCCTACCTTTATGCACCATGACAGCCAAAAAAACGATCAATCCCAAACTTCCTCTTTCTGACAAACTGCTGGCTCCCAAAGCTATCCCATCCGCAGCACCATGTATCACCAAACCCAACGTCGCATTGAGTCCATGTATTCCACCCTGAGTGGTCGCTCTATCTTTCCCATCATCCACATGAAGTCGTTTGGGCCGCGTTACGATAGCCGTAGCGCTGTTCATATGTACCGATGGAGGTCTTCCGCTCTCTAACGAAGGACGTCCCGATCCCTCGGTGTAGAGTGGGTTCGCGAGTGAGTCTGAACTGGATGACGGGGACGGAGGAAGGGAATGTGGTGGATGTGGAGTGAGGGATTCTATCAAAAGCATGAGGGCAAAACCGGCCAAGAGGGAGAGACCGATAGCGTGGACTGGGGAGTCAGATTTGGAGTCGGAAGATACGGAAGAGTAGAGTGTGTTGATCCCCCTGCTTGTCAGCTCGTCTCTATCATACTTGAGGTCACGTGTGACTCTAAAGATAGGGAGGTGTGAGACACGAGGGTGAGATGATCAAGGATGCGGAGTATGTCAGGTCATATGAGTAGGGAGAGATCAAAGACGTACTCTGGGATGATGATTGTCAAAGCTGCACCGACGAGAAGTCCCATTCCCAACACAGAGATGGCTTTTAATCGCTTTCCTATGAATTAGCAGTGAGTTTCAATGTCTTTTCATACTTGCTAAGATGTATGGAAAGATGGCGTATACGATGAGAGACTCACCGGTCATGACAGAGTTGAACATGAGTGGAAGGGATCCGGCTAGCATGGAGGCTATGAACATGGCCACGCATTGTGCGAGAAGAATAATCAATCCCATATCCACTCCATGTAACAATCTCTTCGATCCTGGTCTGACAGTGTCAGTAGTGATAAGATGAGGATGTTGTGAAAGAGGAGGTAATGTAGACATTGAAAAGTGAGAGAGAGAGATAACTGGCAATGACGTCGGCGATGTGCGAGAGAGCACAGCTACCTTAATGTGCGAATGACAAGCGGTGAGATAGTCACTACTAGCAAGTGATAGTTGAACAAGTGAGGGAAGACAGATGTCACATATATGAGTAGATGTCATGACCGTCGAGGTCGTCTAAAAGATTGAAACGGTGATCCATTGATGTGTGTGGGCCATCAGGTCTGGTCACGGTGTCGAGGTGTCGCTAGTCGCTTCCCTTGTGGGGTCATGGGTCATTTAGGTCTTCTGATCCGCAATAGTCGCAGTAGTTGACCTTCCCTTCACTCTACCAGTATCCTTTATCATATCTCTCCTATTTCTCACTATCGAAACATCATCCGACAATAGTACTGATTGTGAGATCATTGTTTTTATCCATCTCCGACTCGCTACTCAATCCAGTCGACCCGTCGTGACATCTCATCAAGCTTCAAGCTCCGACGGCCGACGCAGGTCAACATGACCGATAAAGGAAAGACGAGATCTCGTCCTACCGTGGACACATCTATTCAATCAGACTCCCATTCATACCTCAGAACGCGTTCACCTTCACGATCTAGATATAATCAAGAAGAAGATAAAGGGCAAGATGATGATCATGTTCGACCTTTATTTGGACATTTACATTCTCCCACTTATCCACCTAGATCATCTCAATTCTCTTCCACTAGTATTCGACGATTACACTCCCTTATCCGTCTACCTCCGAGTTTGAAACGAATCTTCCTCTCACCAGTATATCTCGTACTTGTCTTCCTATGCGTTCTATTGACGTTCTTTTTCTTACGATCTGATAGACCATTTGACACGGGTTCTCCCTTCCCCTGGGAGAATCCACCATCATCTTTGATAAAGCTACCCGAAGAATACGCCCCATACCTCCCTGATCTCAATTTGCCCGAGATATTATTATCGCCTCAGCTCGAACCACTGGCATCGCAATTGAAGAAATTTTTACTTCGGCCAGTCTTAAGCTATGAAGAAAGCGACGCAGCGAATAAAAAGCTTTGTCCGTCAGAGATCAGTGACAGATTGGTCAATCCTGATCAGTACAATGGTGATGGTCAGTTCTGGAGGGAAGGTGTGACTCCAACGGTGGTTTATGAGAAGAGAGCTAGTCTTATTCACTTTTTAGCTAAACATGTGGAGGAGGGCAGAACTATTTTTGGAGCTGAGGTGGGACAAGGACAGGGTATCGTATTGACCGGAGGGAATCAGGTAAGCGCCATGGTCACACATCCGGACAAACCATCCACTCCCATCAAGATGTGTCAGGTTATACTGCCAAGATAGAAGTCTGACAGATAGGATACAACTCTCAGGATGATTACACTTCTTCGACATCTCAACAGACTTGGTGTGAAACTTCCAGTAGAAGTATTTCACTATCCTGACGAACTACACGAGGAGGAACACAGAGAGGCGATACGTGAACTCGGCGCGACCATACGTGAGGTCAGTAATCGTGTTTACGTTTGTGCCAGAGTCTGATGATATAGATACAAGGCGTCGGTAAGGTCGACGGCGTTTGGAAGAATTGGCAGATCAAAGGTCAGGCGATAATACAATCGTCTTTCCGAGAAGTTCTATATATCGATTCTGGTGAGCATCTCATCCCTGATGTTTATCGCAGAGACAACTCCCCTTCAGCTCTGACTGGCATCACGCTCCCCAACATCAGCATCAACTATCTGATAGTATACCAAGAGTTGACGGATAGATAACATTCCCCTTCGCGACCCCTCCCATCTTTTCTCAGCTCCTCATTACCTCAACAATGGTCGTGCAGTTTTCTGGCCAGACTTGTCCAGAGACCATCCAGATAATGCCATATGGCGTCTCGTTGGCGATACATGTAATCTCCGTGAATGGACGTTTGAATCGGGTCAAATCGTTTTGGACAAAGGGGGAAATGGAGGTCTCAATATCGCCGCTTTGTACCTTGCGGCTGGTATGATGGCCGATAGGGATTTTTGGTTCAGGATGTGCGGAGGAGATAAGGATACCTTCCGCTGGGCATGGAGGATGTTGGATATTAATCTCGCCACCAGTCCGAGATGGATGTCGGCTCTGGGGTTCAAGAATGGGTTTGAGAATGGAAGGTTTTGTGGGCAGTGAGTCTGTCTATATTGCCTTTGAATTGTATCTAACTGTCTTCCTTCGAGTGTCCCTGGTCGGAAAGTGAGAGAACCCTGGTTGTGCAATGGTCATCGCTGGTCTGGATCCTTGAATCTGACGTGATGAGTGAGACGGGGATGAAGAACAAGCTAACACACAGCACTGTCCTTCAATACGACCTCGTCATACATGAAGGAGAAGAGCGAGAGCGGCCTCTGTTTGTGCATTCGTACGTTATCACATTTTTTTTCTGTACTATAAGAGCTATATTGATGAAGAAGAAATTTATTAAAGCATCTGGGATCCGCCAACCTGGGTCGTGGCAAGCTGTTCACCCATGTGGTCAGTGTCATTCTTTGTGGTCATCCCTTACAACCCCTGTTTGTCGTATTTCCGTAACGCCACATCTCCTTCTTCAACTTGATACTCAGCGTTCTCACTCGGGTCGCTGTGAAGCATGACCGAATCTAGACAATCTTGGACCTATTCAGTATTGCTACTGTATCAGAAAGACGGACAAGTTGTGGGAAAGAAAGTACTTCGCTGATAACCAGAAACGCATGTCTCTCGACGCATCACACGAACCTACCCTAAACTACGCCCATGCATGGGTCTACAACGGTGCCGCCCGTGGAATGTGTCTTGACCTCGACTGGCATCCGTTAGCATACGAACGTCTCACCGACGCAGAGAGGGAGATACAGAAAGTGGAAGGGATTCCCGTGGGACAAATTGAAGGAGGAGTGTTTGAAGGTTTTGAAGATGCTTGGTTTGATGAAGGAGGTAGGATAGGGGGTTGGTGATTTGTGTTCAGTTTGATTTGAAAAAAAATAACCACTGGGTGGTTTGACTGACCAGAGGTAAAGTAGTAGTCAGAAGTAAGGGCAAGCTCTGAAGACTTTCGATTGTATAGAGATCTAGAGGTTCATTTGTATTTCTAGATGTATCTGTGAAGGATATAACAGTAGAGTTGCGGACACTGTTAGTACTAGTTACTAAGTAGAGTTTCTACTGCGAGTCGGTCAAAAATGTCAATGAAAAAGAAATCATACACGTTTCTTAGGTGTTGAAATTTCTTCCCCTTTTAGCCCTCTTGTCCATCTATCCACCTTGACTGCAACTGACTTATAACTTACTTACTTTTCATGTCATCACTCTCATTCCTGTCTTTCCCTCTCCGTCCAAGTCAAAATAAACGCTTATGTCTCATTCGACGTTCTCGCCCACATTCCCAAAGACACCAAAGCACCTTATCCAAACCTCAATTCCAAGCTCACACTTTATACTCACCTACAATCCCTCACCTCCAATCCCACCTCCGATCTCTCTCTCTTCAACCTAACTCCACAGCTCTTTACCTTCTCTCCACTTCCCTCTCTCCTGAATCATTAGAATCTATCATCTCCATTCTCTCTAATTCTTTCCCCACTTCGATAGGTTCTTTCGGTATCACTTCCCCAGGTGAAGAGAATTACATCAGTTTGGTCATTTTCAATGATGGAAAAGTATTCTCAAGTGAGTTATTCGGACCACCCGAAACCAGCGTAGGAAGAGCGCAACGACCTGCAAACTCAGATCAATCGGACTTTTCGTCGTCTGGTCTTCGAAGATCCGCTGGGGGTGGGAAATCTCTTCCAAATGATTTAGAAGAATCATCGGGATCTTTCGGGTCAGACGTGAGCTGGAATGATGTTCTTGCTGGGAGATCAAATACGCAAGAGAGACGAGAGGAGGTAGAGTTGGAAGATGGAATAAGAAAAGCTAGGGAAAGGGGATGGGAAGATATTTGGAGTGGGAAGGTTGAGGAGGATGAAGATATCGAACAATTACGTGGTGTCAAGTGAGTTTGAGTTCCTTTCTCGACATCTTTTCTCCCCCATGATGATTCCTCTATGCACTCCATTTCACCTATCACTAAGTACTGATCATCATAACGGCTCACTCTTGACATCCGATAATCTCATGTCACCTGTCTTCTCATCATACGATCCCTTTTCCTGTTCAGATTCCCCCTTGACGGATCACGGGAGTAAAGATCAGTTTCCTTGGTGTAGACGTGGTGACCTCCTAATGAGCTCGTACATGGTATCTTCGAAAACTATCTGAGAGTTGAGTCTCAAGGATGAAAGAGTAATCACTAATCTTCAGAGCGAGAAGTTTGATTTATCTTTCAGATTCATCTCCTTATCGGACTGCATCCGCTTTAGGAAACATGTTCCCTTCTTCTGTTAACGTGAGTCCTCCCCTTTATTTTCCTTCCAAGCCCTCAAATATGTCACCCTCTCGACTGAACCATCTTCCTATTGAATTTCCAATCACATTTGTACTTGTTGAAATATCCCGATCTCGTACCCCCCTCCCATTTCGTCTCCGATATTACAAACCATTCTCAGGAAAGAAGTACTAATCTAAGGCGGGGTTCATCACCGCCCCTACTCCATTCTTAACTGGTCGTCCGCATACTTTATTACTCAATTCTAAACCGGTACATGCTTCAGCAGTAGGAATAGCTTTACCTTTTCCTCTTCGATCACAAGTGGATTATGGTCTTAGTGCTTTAAGTGAACAAATGACCATATCTTCGTACGTCTTCGTCTTTTGTACCCCCTCTTTCATTGTTTCATTTCATTTTCTTTTTATGGTTTATTCAATTCCCCGACACGCTTGCTCATAGAATGAAAGAGGACCGATGACGTAGGTTTTAGGACAGGGATTGAGATTGATAATCCATGATCGACTTTCTTGGGGCATCTTCCGCCAAAAACGAAATAACGGAGAAGCTGAAATGGTATAGAGCAAAAGGGAATCTTTTACTTCGGATAAAAGAAGGTAATGGTAACCCAGCACAAGCTCTGATTTCCTCTATCCAAACTCGGTTTGGGGATCAGGGTTTGAGGAAAGAAGATGATTTTTATCTTTCCATCAAAGTATGTCTCATCCTGCTTTCCATCCCCTTGCCTTTCTCTTCTTCCCTGACTCTGCCCCTTCCCCTCCCTTTGCCCCCTCTCAACCTTTCTGTCACTGTAATCTTACTTCCCTCCGTAACAGCCCTATTCTCTCACAAGTTCATCCATGTCTTGATCACATACGTACAATCATTAACTCTGTCTCTTGTCGGGCAAGTAGGTCTTTACACAGATATCAAGCAAAGTAATCAAAACCCCGACTAACAACCAGGATCCCTCTGGTGGGAGAATGGTGAGAATCCTCAGTGGTGATCCTTCCCGAGGTACGATCTCCCTAGACACATCTCTCTCCCTCAAACCGAATACAAAAGTAAAATTCATGTATCGACCCAATCCTCTCTCGTCTATATCTCTCCCGACATCTCAAAATGAAATCCACTTTGTCGCTTTGGGGAAATCGGAGTTTGATGTCCCTACTAAGATTGGAAAACCTCGGACGGAGAGTGGATTTTATGGATTGAGCGAAGGAGGGTTTATGATGAATCAGAAAGAATGTAATGTCGCCGGTGCTACTTTACGATTAATCTCCTGATGTTGCTTGAATAATGAGTAATGAGTCTTGTGCAATGGAGGAATAGAAAAAGGTATTTGATGCATCCCAACAACATGGAATTGCCCATTTTGACCCTACATGTTCCATTATTACTGATGACAACTCAAGACAAAAGGATATCACGCCGGACACTCACTAAGGGACATAAGTCAACTTGCCTAGGATATCACTAGCTCACCCGCATAATTGCTGAATGGAATATTTATGATACCATGCGTCTCGTGGAATCCAACCACCTGCCATACCGGCTGAATAAGACCATTCAGCTGCGTTTTCCGTTTTCCATGTCCAGTAGATCCTATGTATCAGCTATGCTCACTCTCCCCGGCCGTCCCGGACACTTTATCCAAACCTTCATCTTCCCCCTCTAATTCCTGTCTCAGGGTCACATATGAGGGATTGAATAAAAGACGACGAAGGGAGAATGCCGGAAGTTAATCTGAGAAAATGTTAGATGGGATGGATGAACAGATAGGAAAGGTAAGGCACAAAATAACCAATCACTCACCAGCCTTGACCATGATTTTCATAAGTTTGAGTTTGAACATCCCAGAATCTCTGCATGAAATCTTTGTATTCGCTATCACGTCAACAACATTTAACACAAAGACAGCAAAAAACTTACGCGGAAAAGGAAGACCCGTCACCTGTTTTGGTAGAGCAATCACCAACGTAAGATGAACCAGGAAGAGTACCGTCGTATCTCGCACCAGTACCGCGACCGTTTAACCATAAAGCACAATCGGTAGATGCTACTGTCCATTCTCCGTTGACTAACCATAATGGAGAACCATCGAAAGTAGAAGATTGTTGGCATATACCCTGTAGGGTCAACGTCTGACATCCTTGTTTCGTAAGGTCCAAGATCAGTAGGGTACTTCACGAGAGAACAGGCTGTAGAGATTCCTCGATCGAAAACCGAACCATTTGAGAATGGATTCAAGAAGGGATTGTGATGAGTTTTCATAGGAATTGAGATATGAACCCACCTGAATATGTTGATCCCAAGTCCATTCGTTGGTAGGTTGATCAAATATCTGATAACTATGATGATCTATCATTACATCTTCGTATGTTGGTTGTGACATGTAATTGTTATAAGTATTGAGAGGTTGAAACCCATCATGAATAACCAATACTAAACCTGATTTACTACCAGATCCTTGTGATGCCCATGGATATCTTGCAGCACCGTAAGCATCATACCAATATTGTCTTGTGGTCGATAATAATTGTTGGTTGAGATATGTAGCAGGTTCATTGAGTAAACCAAGAGCTGTGACGACTTGATAATATGATGAATCGGAATATTTCTGCGACAATGATTGAATGATATTCTTCGTACGTAGGACATTGTTGGAATTGGTAGCCCATAACGCATTTCCTCTTCGACCGGAATTATCATAACCGTTTTGAGAACCTGGAGCACCGTGAAGATCTATCATGACTTTCAGACCGTGATTACGGGCCCATCCTATAGCTCGGTCGAGATAAGCTGCTGCTCCTTGAATATAGGGTTCTCCACCGGAGACGTCGTATGCCCAAAAGCCGATCGGGATTCTAACGTGATTCAAACCGGCGGCTGTACGTCAGCGCTACGAGTACTCGATGATATGTTAAGCTTTAAAAAAATCGGGTGACATACCAGCGATAGCCGCAAAATCAGATTCGGTTATCCAAGTGTCCCAATGTTGGCGTAGTGCGGCTTGTGCTTTGCCTCGATTTTGCAATTTGCAGAACGTGTATTCATCAACTATATCGTCGTTTCCTGTGTTTTGGAAGAGTGAAGGCTGACTTTCAGTTTGGTTTCAAAGCAAGAGGGAGTGAAAACTCACCGTGATGAAGGGTTCGAGAACCAGCCACTACGATCATCAGCGGCAAACATTACGGAGGAATAGCAACCACTCACTCCACCAATATTGACACCACGGATCTTCCAATCACCATACTGCCAACCGACGTTGACATCCCGTTGTTGGATATTGAGTTGTGAATGGTTTGTGGATCCAGTACCACCGAAATGCTCACCGGTAGGTAAGGAGAGTGTGAGGGGGAGTAGGGGAAGAAGAGAGAGAAGAAGAAGAGTGAATGAGCGGAGCATGTTGTCAAATGAATTTGAGGAGGAGAAGATCGGGAGTGAGGATTGAGGAGAGGATAGAAGAGAGAGTGAAGAAGGAATGGAATGATGAAAATGCTAAAAGTTGAGTGTTATATATATACAAAAAGAGGTTTTGATGCCCGGCCGATACTACAAGCGGTTAGGGGGTCCGCTCTCTAGCGTTTTACAACCACAAAGGACGTTTGGCCCGTCGTCGTCGGGGCTACGATTCGCCGTCGATCGTCCGCTCGACAATGACCAGCGTCCTGATGACTTCTGCCTATCAAGACGGATACTCACAGTGAGTATGTATTGGTTGTTCAGTAACCGACTACCGGTGGTTTTCAGCTGAGCCTGGGTCTCAGTAGTCGCAAGTTTGATCACTAGCACCATGTTGGCGAAGAGTGTCGGCCATGTGGCCATCTCCTGGTCGCTAAAGGACCTCGTTTCATTTGCTACTTGAGGCATGTTGCTGTTTGACTGTCTGCATAAAGTCAGCATTTCCTGCTTGACAGTAGGTCATCATCAGCTAAGCCAGGGCTACAGGCGATTAAAATGTTCTAGTCGTTTAGAAGACAGTCAACTCTGAGAATGTTGGACGAAGAGGGCCGGATTGTTTCTTGGAATGACGTAATGACCACGTCGGAGGATTGTCGATGAGCATCATTAAAAAATGTGCGTTGGAATCAGGCTTCCTTCCGAACATCAGCACTCGGTTCAGGGTCGGCGAGCCGGAACATGCGGAATACTAGCCGGCTGAAAGATTGTCGTCAACGAATTCAAGACCCAAGACTTCAGACATATTCGATGGTTCTTGATCTGCATTCATTCGGTTCGTCAGACGGACCGGTATGAATCGTCGATCAGAACTATATGATGGGATTGTTCGACTGGGCAGGGATTGAGCGATACCGGGTAAATGACAGGCGAGATGTTCATGGATGCATGTTCGTAATGTTTCGTCTCTGCGTTAAGCATGTTTTGATGTTGATTGATCAGCTGGACAACGTCTTAGCGATCTCAATCGTTGTCCGATCCGGCGAAGATATTCTCCTCTCTGAACTTCAATCTTCGCGATCAGTACTTTTGAGATTTTAATTGGGGGATCTACTGACCCAGCCAGCTTGGACTTTGGCTTGACGATCTTGGCATTCTCAGCCCTCTTGAATAACAGGGGCTGTTGGGTCGGTCTTGAGTCCACATTGGCATTTGTCTTGTGCCTCCGGACTATCCTCTCCTCCTCAGAATCGGTGTCTATCAGGCCCTGGTCGCGAGCGCGCTTTGGTATTCCGCCAGAACCCTGATGTGATCCACCGCTGGATGATATGGAGAGGAACTCTTCCTTGAGGGCCTGATGGTCAATTCGGTCACAACTACGATTCGACTCACCTCAACCTCGGTTTTACCCCCTGGCAGCACTTCGTATGGTCGCCAAATACTCGACCGAAGCTTTGTGGGATGATTCGAATCAATACCTGCCAAAGTGTACAGATCCGATTTGACCGCCGTTGGTTCGAGCCCATGATGTCGTATTAGAGTTTCCAAGACCTGCCCGTATCAGATCATGCTCCGGTTTAGCGGACTCACTTTGCGGACCGCGATCAGATCGTAAACGTCGTGGATATACAAGCATATGAGGTGCTATCGTCAGCCGAAGGTCTACAACGACAAGGCCGCTCACAGATGACTCGAGATTATGTGTATTTTTCGGAGCAACCTTGCTGAGAAACACTCCGGCGTCCCTCAGTGGGCCATGAGCGACGGATGATGCTACTACCGACCACACTTTGTCGATCTCATGGGGTTTGGGGAAGAGAAGCCTGATCATTAGCAGAGCCCAAAATTTAAGATCCACTGACCACTTGCCCACAGTCCAGCCAGAACGCAGAGATACCTGTTTGAGTTGTTCTTTGGCGTGCTCGAAAGCCTTGACATGGGGTGAGCGTTTGTTGGGTGTAGGAGCTTACTTGATCTCGTGGTGCCTTCCTTTTCCCTTTAGGTCCACGCTGAGGTTTTAGTGAATGGTCAATTGAATATGGTGACTATACCTCTAACTCCATGAGATTATCCATCAAGCTGTTCACTAGACATCAGCCAGTTACTTGATCAAATGAAGAAGTGAGCACTGACTGATGGAGGTTGCTTCTGCCAGAGCGCCACCGTACTGCTTGGTCCTGTCGGGATCTTCTGCCTCCCTGTCGATACCTTGAACCCAAATCCACTGCTGGTGAGGACTAAGTGATATTCAAGACATGAGAGAGTACATCAGTGACATCGGTCGTGATCTTGGTGGGAGCATTCTGGGTAATTCATGAGCGACGGTCACTCTTGTTGCAGAAAGTGACCTGCCAACCTTTTCGACAAATTGTTCGATAGTGACATGGCTGCCAGGAGTCCAGTGGTAATCTGAGCTCATATATATGGGACTAGGCTGTATAAGGATAGTGTAGAGATATGAAAGGAGGATAACTTATATGTATGTGGGGGAAGGAATGGGTGGGGTGGGAGAATGGGAGAACGGGCGTGATCGGAAAGGAAGGAAGGAAGGAAAAGCATGACTGGTAGACGTTAGACGTCGAAATTTCCTCCCAATTCGACTTTGACTCTTGCTTTGTCCTCTCTATCACACTCAGTCATGCCAAAACCAAACAAGTCTTCTGCGTCTTCCGGGACGAGGAAGAAACATGCCAACAAGACTGGGAAGAATCAAGAAGATGTGCCCGATAGACCCCTGCAGCGAGGGCAGAAGAAGCTTAGCAAGGCTCAACGAAAAGCTCTCCCACAAGTCAAGCAATACATCCCTCCTCCCAAGCCACCTGCACCACCTATACCTGATCCTCTGGACGGACAGGGACTAGCTAGGACTCTACCTGCCGAGCTCGTCGTGGTTCTCAGACGTTTGGGGAAGAAGGACGATGTGACGAGGCGAAAGGGTCTGGAGGATTTGAGACAGGGTTGGGTATCGCAAGTGATCCGCCGGGTGGACGAAGACGATCAGGTCGAGAGGGATATAAAGGAGAAAGCATTACTTGCTGCTGTCCCCGTCTGGGTGAGCATCGCTGATACCTTGTCCGTCCCAAGTCTGACATTGTAGATGCATAATCTCGCCAGCCTTCTCCAATCTCCCTTTCATCGAACATCAACCCTTCAGCTCCATGGTGAACTTCTCTCCATAGTCAGCATAAGAACCGCTATCATCGACACCCTAAACCTTGGACTCCTTCCCAGCACTCAAAATAGAGACGTGGTTGGATCATGGATGGTCGCCGCCCTCGAGGAGGGACGGAGAGCAGGAGGTGCAGCGTTGCGCACTTGGCAATCCTGCATCTCCTGGACCGGAGAGGAGAATAATGGTCGCCTCGATCTCAGCGCCTATCTCCAAAACCTCTCTGAATTCCTCTCGCAGTCTATACTCAACCCTCCATCTTTGCACGATGACATACACCCAGTCCCGATCGCCTCCACGTCTGGAACTTTTATCCCTGAGCCGAAAGGTAAGACCGCGAAAGGAAAGATTGCGATAAGGGCGCCTCAGTTTGAAGTAGAGGAATCGATGGAGGATACCGAACTTCTCGCTGAGCGATGGACTCGATACCGTATTGGGGGACTGGTCGGTCTGGCATGGCTGATTCAGCAACTATTCGCCCTGAAGAGTTCCCTCCCAAGCGAATTCGATACCCTGTTGAAAAAGGAGGACTTGTGGAGCTCACTAGCATCATCGTCAGACTTTGATTCTGGCTTGCTGGGACAAGGTCAACCAGCCGTACGACGAGCAGCGTACACTCTCCTTGACACTGTGGTAGATCTCTACCCTGACGTAGTAGCGGACAAGGACGTACTTCGTGTACTGTCCAATATGGTTTTGGGACATTGCTGGGATGAGTCGGAAGCGACGGTGTGGGAATCTGCCGGACCTGCAGTGGTCAAATTTCTAAGCAGTGCGTCCAATCTAGTCTCGCGTGATAATGGTTGACTTCAGAAAACCGAGATGCCTGGGATCTTGTCACAGACTTGGTCATCGCCGACAGGCAAAGTCAGCGTACGAGCCTCTCTGATAGCCGTCAGAATGGCGACAGCCCAGAGGATTTGGCATCGGAAAACGATGACGGTGAGGAAGAAGACGACCAGAAATCAGAGACAACCCCAGAAGACCGTCAACTCGTTGATCAACAAGGATCACCTCAAACCACCTTGACGAGATTCTTCCATTATATATCTACTATATGTCCCACACTTCCTCATCTTTGCTATCCATTACTGCTCGTTATCATCTCGACTCTCCCTCCTTCTTTTCTCCCTCTCGAGGGCGAACCTTCAGACGAATTGAAGAGTCTTTTCTCGCACCTTTGGTCACCGGTCGACGCCCGTCTACTGTCAACTACGTCAATCGGGTCCCAGTTATCAGCATTTCAAGCCTTTTTCAGAGATGTGGTGGACATCACCAGTTTTCTCATCAGCAAAGCGTTGAAGACTGACAATGGTGCGCATTCGGTGAACTGGCTTGTGACGGAACAGTTTGGCGTTCGTATCTGGAAAGAAGGAGTGTTGGATATGGGTGGTAAAGCCGTCAGACGTGGGGCCTCAGGAGAAGCTGAAGCTACTATCTTTTCCCAGGCTCTATCCCGGCTTGTTGTGACGTCGGAGGATTGTGCACGGAAAGCGATGGAGGTGGTGTCAGAAACTCTGGTAGTAATGTGCCTAGGCGAGACCGCGGTCGAGTTAGAAAAGGCTCTCATGGTGCTACCACGAGCCTTGCCCCTTCTGTCAATTCTAAAAGAAGGACACACTGGGGACATCGTAGCGAAGATGGTGGACGAAATAATCTCGTCGCTGGCTTCCGGAAGCTTAGAGAGGCTTTTGTCCATCTCTGTGGAGAAGCCGAAGTTGGCAACAACATACACGACTTTTCTGGTCGAGGTGCTCCGAACACACCCCGCCTTGGTGACAGAGGGCACTAGACACGTGAGAAGTTTGCCCTATAAACGACCAAGCTCACTGTTCAGTCATTAGCCGATACACTCTCGAATGACCCACAGAAATTCCTACCTCTCATATCCACCGATCTCCTTACGGCATTGTATGAAGCCACCAGCCGTAACACGGATTCCACCACGTCACATTCAATACAAGAAGCTTTCATTGCCCTCATGACCTCCAGCGATCTACCTGAAGAGAAACGTTTCGCCATGGCTAAGAGTGTCCTGTACTTGGACGATTACTTGCTGTCCCTGGCCGGCTCCATGGACGTCCTCGTCGAAAAGGCCACTCAGTCGGCGCTTTCAATACCGACTCGAATCTCTGTACCATCCGAGCTTGTGGTGCAATACGTCAAGCGACCAGGATTATTGTCCGATGAAGCTATCGCCACTGTCCTCGCTCTCGTCTGTACGCATATACAGAACGCTGTGAGTGCATTGTTGGTAGGCGACTCGACCGCTTTCTTTCCGGTGGCTGCTCTTTCCATCTTTGTCGCGTATGCTGAGGATCACATGGAGACAGTCTTCGATTCGGACATCCAGCGTCCTGCCCTCATTGCCTGCCATCACTTGGTCCATCTCGGCCCCTATCTACCAGTCTCCTCGGATCTCCCAGCTTCCATCGATATCCGGGGCATGACTGCCTCCCTCGATTCAGAAGATCAAATGGTCTTCATCCGCACAGTGCTTTCCAGCTTCGCTTCTATGATCGGTCAAGTCGAATGTTGTATCAAGCCCGAAGTACTCGTTGATGTAGCGCTCTCGCCGATTCTCAATATCGCACTGCCTGTGACACAAGTTGCTGAGGCTCTTCTTCCATCCGACTTGCTAGCCCAATCGCGTAAATACACCTCAAGTCCACCCAAAAGCATGCTACCCGTGCTGGACCCTCTGGTCCCTTACGACGCAGAATCGGGCTACGTTTTGGATTCACCCTTCGATTCTGAGGGCCAGACAAGTATCGTTCGGTTCGTAAAAGCCTTGTTTTCACTCTTGCGAGAGGACCGACAACTGGTCAAGTATCAGCCGTGGCTTCTGCGAGTCATACTGGAGGCCTGGATAATCTCTCAAGACGCATCGGCGGTACATGATGCTTCTCGAAGTCTGTACTCTCCCGACGTGTCGACCGGGGTTTTGAAGGATATCGTGCGAGAATCAGAAGGGGCATTGTCGTTCGTGCTTGCGGATAATGATTTTCCAAACTGGTCTTCATTGACCATCTCGTATCTCAAAACCGGCAAGGGTACGCCGACTACTTTACAATGGCTCTTGGGCAATTTACAGCAAGACATAATCCGTACTAGCGGCGATGTCCCCTCTCGAATCTTCCGCGACGTACTAGGACGACAATTACGCCATGCTGGGCTCAGCCAGGAAGAGCACGGGCAATGGATGTCGTATGCTGTGGGGAATGCGAAGAAAAGTGAGTTCCTCTAGTCTCCATCCGGCTGACATCAGATCCTCAATTAGCCATGGCTATTATTTTTGCTGCTAAGCCTTTTTTACTCGAAAATAAGGCATTCGCCTTGGCTCAAAACCGGTTTGCCAACGCAGTCACTGCCATACGAGGCAAAGATATAGATCCCGCGGGGATGTGGGCTTTACGTTTGCTCCTATCCACTGCCCCTCCTCCCGATGCCGCGGCTGTTTTCTTACCTCAAAAAAGAGCTTTGTTCGTCCTTCGACATGTAGACTTATGGATGGCCGAAGATGAGGAAGATGATTTACCTTATGGAGGGGACTGGTTGATAGGTGAGCTATACAGAGCTGTGGTGCCCATTATTCAGGATATACCAGGAAGACACTGGAGTAATATTTTTAATAGAATAGATAGCTGTTTAGGTGTGAGTGATTAATTTCTATTGACATTTACATTACTCATTGATAGGATCGATTGATGGAACATGATTTTTCATTTTGTCATATATATCAGGGGCTTGTCCTTGTTCAACAACTCCGAGATCTGTGTGAGACAAATAAATCCCTTCGTGACATATGGCAAGAGAAGGATCACCACATGAACTTAGTACTCGAACGATTTATCGATTGTAAACATGGTGAGTCTTTCCTCTGGTCAATTATTCGGTGATTGATTTCTCAGTTAAACCCTTATCATTGACTTCCAAGCCATTCAAAATGATCCAAGATGTCATGTTGGATTTATTATCGGACGTGCAAGTTAGCGTACGCAATGGAGCTAGCGTGTCGGATTTATGTGACGTGATCAGTTCGAACAGCTCACCAGCTGCTCAATGCATTGCCTACCGGATTTTAAGCGAGGTTATCAAGGAGAAAACAATCAATTTGGTTCTTCAAGTGGAAGTCTCTGTAGCCGAAGCTCAAGATGGTCATCTCACCCAGACTATCAATCTGCCTCAAGAGTTGATCACCCTTGTTGCATCTGGAGTTAGGATAGATTGGTACACGGCTAGTATACCTTCTGTCAGTTCCTCACACACAGTATTATGATTTGACTGATGTATCAGGTACTTGGTCAGCTTCTGGCTTGGATGGCAATTTTAGATCACTTTGACGATGCTGTAAGTCCCTTACAGATATTTCAACCTGTCAGCTAATGGTAGTCACGAACATTGCGATGGGCGTATCTCGATCAACTGAATTCCTCCGACTTGTTGGCTAATTCTTTATTACCAATGCTCTTCACCATGCTGGGAGTATCCGAAGTGGGTTCTTGGAATTTCCCAGCGAGTCAATATTCTGTTGACGAATTTCACCTTGACCGTTAGTTCATCTCCCTCTCATAAAAATATTAGCTGAATAACAGTATTTGACCCGGAAGAATTATCAGACCTCACTCCACTAGCTTCTCATCTCTATTATCGTTCTCTTGTCACACTCCCTTCAGCTATGAGAAGTTATTACGAATCCCTCAAAGATCGACAACTTTCCATGTCCATGTTAGCATTCACAGCGAGACATTATTCATCTATTATCATTCAACATGAATTCTCAGCTCTTCGTTCACCTACCGCCATGAGTCAACTTACAGATGAAGGATTGAGCATCAGAATTGCTCAAGGAGGTGGTACAAGTGTATCAGGGACTAGTGGAGCTGCAGAAGCTATAGCTAGTTATGTTGTGGATGAACAACCTATGGAAATTGGGATTAGACTTCCTGCGGAGTTTCCATTGAAAGGTGTGGAAGTTAGAGATTTACGAAGGGTTGGTGTACCGGAAAATAAATGGAGAGGATGGTTAATGAGTGTTCAACAGACGATTACCTCCAGGGTGAGTCTTCCAATTTCATTTATCACACATAAACCCCTACATCTTTCATGTCGGTCGAATAACAAATGGGGAAGTGAAAGGAAGAGGAAAGGTGCTGATGAATAGAATGGATTGATGTTGGAAGCATTGTCAGTTTTCAAAAAGAACGTTGCGTTACATTTCGAAGGTGTAGTAGAATGTGCTATTTGTTATTCGTACGTTGTTCCTCCCTTTCATCCACCCAATCCCTCCACACTAGTCCCTCTGACAAGTACTTGTCAAAGTTTATGTAGTCACAAAGTGGATAAACCACTGATACATAGGATCATCTCACTCACTGATCGGACACTCCCAACGAAACCCTGCAGGACATGTAAAAATAGGTTCCACGCTTCATGTTTGTTCAAATGGTTCAACTCTTCTCATTCTTCCAGTTGTCCATTATGTCGGTCTCTTTTCTAAGTCTTCTCTTCTCTCTATCACAGTCTTCGGATTGTCAGTACCGAACATATCGGCTTGGGTAAATCCGAAGATCGTGATCACAACCTTTCGGCTTGGGTAAATTAGACAAGTGTCACATAGTGCATAGATAGACGTTCCTTGTAATTTTGACAATACAACAATGCATACATAAATGTCATACAGACCCTAGAGACCCTTGGATAATTATTCCGTATCAGAAGTAAGAGAACGTTTTCTTTTCCCAGATTTCCCATCTTCTTCTTCGTGTCTCGCCTTAGCGGCTAACATCTGGATCTCAGCGCTGGGGCGAGAGAAGTGAGCGGGTACATGGCGAGGGGTAACGGACATGAACATGGGGAAGAGAGAAAGCGATCCAAGATAAAGAGGGTAAAGCAGGACCCAGGCCAAAGGGATGGAGAGAAGAGAAATTAGGGATCACGTACATTCCGATATTTTGCCAGATAAATGGTCAAGACTCTTTCGTAATTATCAAACCCCAATGCTCTCATCGAAGTCAAAATGTCCTCGCCGTTGATAGTTTTCCTCTTTTCGTTCAGACATTTATCCGCTGCTTCTGATGTCTGACTATCAGCTCAACCTTCCTCCAGCCTCCGTTCAACATGTGATCCGTCGGATGAACTTCCCTCTCAGAACCTCCTACGAGCACCCATCAGTATCATTGATAAGTCGACTGTTTTCTGATATCAAGCAAACAAGTCGCAGCGTGATGATAAGCTGAGAAGGGGAAAGTCATCGCTAGGCGAGGATCAAGTAAGCCCACGAAAAACTTACGATGAAAGATATAAACTCTGATACACATTCCTGTACGCATTCTTTTGCGTCTTTACTCACTTTCGCTGTGGGCGGTATGGAACCTTTCATTATTCTAGCTACATTCGCTATCTGATTCGTTAGTCCGATATCATCCATGACCAGAACATCTCCACAGAAAACAATGTTTCATGTAAGATAGACAGAGACGCAATCGTGAAGACGGTGATGATACCTTGGGCCAAGCGGAGGATGGGAGGATAAACAAAAGTCCTGTACATTCCGAAGACAAACATGAGACTCCAGAGACCTATGGCCAGGGGAGTTGCAGGAAGGCAAGGGTTGGAGGAGAGGGAAAAAACAAAAGTCAGAGACTTACAGGAAGCCATCGATCTTGTTCCCTGAACTGAGCAACTTGAGCATCTGTGAACGGTGCTGATGGACCTGTGGGGGTATCGGAAGGAAGTGTCGTAGAGCCTGTAGGTGCTAGAGGTGGTAATGGGTCTGTCATGGTACAATATGTAGGTGGAAGATCTTTGTAGGAGGAATTGAGTTGGAACTGGTGGGAGATCGGAAAGCGAAAGGACGGTTTTGATCGGGTCAGGTTGATGGGTTAATGACCTTGAGCCCTGCTTTCGATTCCCCGGTCCGGCTATTCTTAAAGAGTTCGGATCCGAACTCTTCACTTCCACATTGAGATTTCCACGTCGACAAAGGATCTCTCGTCTATACTTTCACTTCACCTCATTCAGTTGTATACTGCAAGCTGTGTCTCTAGATCGACCTGGAAGACGAAATACGAGAGTGAATCATGTCAAGCTCGACTTCCCGACCCAAAGTCAATCTACGTTCCACTGCTGTGAAAAGGATAATGCAAGAAGCTCAAGAATTGGCCATTCCGGATGAAGATGATGGTTTTGTTGCTTCTCCCTTAGAGGTGATCATTCTTGTTTCTTCTATCATACTCGTTTATCTCTTCTACTTCAGGTCCCCTCTCTCGTTGGGGCTCATGACGCTGTGTTTGCAGGAAGGGATGTCTGACACCGTTTGAAGCACTACTCGTACTTCCAGCTGTGTCGTGAGATGAGGAGAAGGGAAGGGAAGATTGTAGTAGATGTGGATGACAGAGCTGATAGTAGGACGATATATTCGAATGGCACTGTACGATGCGTGGTGTTTCCAATAGCGAATATGACGGGGGTGAGTCTGTCTCTATAGTGTTGAACAAGATGATACTGATACCATAGGTCTCTATCATCTGAGAATATTACTACCACCTAGTTATCCAATGTCAGCGCCGGATATCATACTTATGACTCCTAATGGGCGGTTCGAGCTGGGGAAGAAGGTTTGTCCATTCTTCGTAATCATTCCCCGGTCATCTTTCATCTCCTTACACTTTCCTCGGCTCTGAGCTGTACACAGAACAGACGTTCCAAGAGATCCTACCCCGGATGCCTGATGGGACACAGATCCGGTATCTACACCTCGCCTTTTGTCAACGGAGAAATGGAAGTGGATTCATCAGATGGTTTAGTCCATGGAGAAGGATGAAATGCACAATGTCACAGGGTGGACTGACGAGCAGATTTGCATAGACGGTTTGACTTCTTTTCATTCTGGTTCTTGGCAACCAGCATGGGGAGTACGTACAGGTGAGTTTTTCTTTCATGCTCCCTCCTCCTCCCTCCTCCCCACCCCCCCTTTCCCCTATGCCCTCACTGCTCTACACCTCTACACCTCTACACCCTCACTCCTCTACACTGCTACTTCTCTTACCTATCATGCCTCTATCCGTATATTTCTCTCCTCTCCTACCCCGACTGGTCCTTCATCGAGCTCCCGATCATTGTGTTCTGAACGAGTGAACACAAAATGGAAACCAACATCATGCGAAATCACCACACTGACGCAAAGCAATCCTAGGCTTACGGAGTTTCTGGATGCAAGCCGGTGAAGCATTATCTGCCATTGGAGCACTTGATTATTCCAAAGATGAACGAAAACGTTTAGCCAAATTGTGAGTCTCCCCTCAATCTATCCGTCCATTTACTCATATCAGATCGGGAGAATGGACTTGTCCCGTTTGTCGAGTGAAGAATAAAGACCTTTTGTCTGATCGAGTGACTACCACCTCTGTTGAAACTCTCACCTCTGAGGATAAATTAAAAGACGAGAATGTGGAAAAGATCAAAGAACAAGAGAATACGGACTCGGCCCAAACGCGGATGAGGGAATCGAAAGAAGACACGCAGCAGCAAGGACAAGAGAGAAAAGAACAAGAAACAAACATTGAGGAATCACCTCCAACTTTGGCTGCCCCTGCTCCAATCGAATCTATCGTCGCTCCTGCGCCTATCGCCGTCTCCATATCAAACCCGCAGTCGGAGAGAGTAGCGGCGGGCTCGTCTTTCTCTCAATTCACACAACCAGCCCCGACATTACAGATGTCCAACCCTAGTCAACCAAGAAGACCAAGACCTCCCATGTGGCTTGACGGTCTCATACTCGTCTTCGCTATCCTTCTCGGGTTCATGATCGTCCATAGAATTGCCTGATCTCCATCTTATACATTGTAGAACACTGTATCAAATCTTCATCTGTTGTCATCAAGCCTACGGCCTAAGGGTAATGCATATACATGAGACTGTTGACAAAATGTATTAGATAGAGAAGAAAGGTTGCTCGTTCTGCTTTTGTTGCTGTCCGAATGGATTGTTACCTCCAAAACCAGTTTGCTGCACTGCAAGTGCGTTTGAAGCGTGGAATCCAGTTCCAACAGGTATACCTGATGATCAGATGATGAGAAAGAGAAAAGGGAAAGAAAGAAGACTCACGCAGATTGCCAACATTGCCAAAAGTGTCCAATCCATCTTCCCTCCCTCGAGCGAGCAAGTTTGCGAGATGTGCATGTTGCCCGTCGTCCCTTCTCGGAGGCTGGAATGAAGGTGTTGGTGTGGGAGCTGGAGATGGTTGTTGGGGACTGGATTGTTGCTGGTTGACAACTGGGACGGGAAGGAACGATTGAGTTTGTTGAGGAGTTTGTTGCTGCTGTTGAGGTTGTTGGGACTGTCCAGGGGCGAAAGGATTATTGGAGCCGTATCCTGTGGGTTGTGCGAATAGGGATTGCTGGTATTGCTGCTGTTGTTGCTGCTGCTGCTGTTGTTGTTGCTGAAGGTAAAGCTGCTGTTGCATCCATTCCTGCTGCTGCCGTTGTTGTTCAGCGAGCATTTGTTGACGTAATAATTCTTCCTGCTGCTGCTGCTGCTGTTGCTGCAACATTTGAGCGTGAAAGGGCTGAATGTCAGAAAATGTCTACAAAAGCATGTCAACTTACATTGTAGGATGTATATTGTGGTTGAAGTTGTCCTTGTTGTCCATAACCGAGATCAACGAGAGGATAACCTGTCTGTTGTTGTTGTTGATATTGGTTATTGGAAGCGCTATCGAGTCAGTCTCAAAAACTTTCAGTCAGAGGGTCACGTACAGGTTAACACTATCATCAAACAACGCATTGGCGTTGGCCGTCTCCAACTCCCGTTTCCTTCTGGCTTCTTCCTCCTCTGACAGTCGTAAAGCTCTTTGTAACTCATCCTCTTCTTGAGTCCGCCGACTCCGATTCCGGGCTTCCTCCTCTTGCATCCGTTTAGACTCTTCGATAGCTTTCCGCAGATCGTCATCTTCATCTCTTGATTTCTTAGCAGGTGGTCTGTTAATGGTCAGCTGAGTAGTATGATGGTCTTTTGTGATTTGACATACCTCGATTGAGGTGGACTTCGTGGACCACCATAATCCTCTTCACCCTGTAAACCAGAGTCCGCTAAGTTACCCAACATCCGATCTCGCATAGCTCCTCGTGATCGTCTTTCAGCTCGGAGTCGTTCTTCATCCTGTAACAAGTTGGTAATATCCTTCGCTTTTTGTCGAACATTGGATCCGACATCTTTCCCATGTTCGTCCACATAGACAAACTCTTTCAACGTCCTAGACCACTCAGCACTGTTCGAACATCAAGTCGAACTTTCTCACTTGACAACGTAAATATTATCGCGAAAGTAAATGACAACGTTTTCTGACCCCGCATGCAGACAATAATCAAGTAAGGTCAAAGCCTGTGCGTCAATACCAATTCCTATTTTCCTGGACGATGAGAGTAGACCGACTTTGAAGACATGTCGCCAATTCTTGCCTTTATCATTTAACCTCTTGTCCATCATCTCCATAACCTCCACAAAGTCGTTCCTATACCGTCAATATCACATTCGGGGATGAAAAAGCATGATCCCACTGATTGTATGTCAACTGAGCGATCTCATTCATCTGAGTACCCGATGGACCCCATGGATCGTTACTTGTTGCTTCTCGGACTTTTGTCTTTTCTAGTGAGCAAAACCAACACCGAGATGACAGAAACTCACCTGTGTGTCCGTATACCCCTTTGTGTAATTCTTCGCCACTCGTAATGCTACAAAGGTCAGTGGACTTGTCGGGACATGAGACGAGTCAAAAGGACTGACCTCCTCTACCTCTGTTGACGATTAGTCAATCTCCCTCATGCTAGATATGAGAATATGACTCACAGATGCTGCAGTGATGAAGTCATACTGCCTTGGTTGTTGTGATGAGGAAGATTGGACAAGAAGAGTTATGGAGACAGTTGTTGCTATAGGGCACTGCGTCATCCGTCATCCGTCCTTCGCAGCGAATCGTCAGAGACGCACAGACCTCCCGGAACCGGCCCCCTCGGTCGGCGTTATATCGATATCTCCTTTGTGGCACATGCTCTACCCACTCTCGACCATGACTTTTGGCCATCCTCCTCTGCAAAACTATACCAAGTTCATACCGACAACATGGCTCGTTCTGAAAGGTAAGTCGTCAGCCCAAGCATAGGTAGAAAGTCGGTCACTGACACACTTAGCCCTCTAGACGACGACCATGACAGGAGAATGACTTCTGCACCTCGAAGTACACAAGATATGGAGGAGAAACCTGCCAAGTGAGATATATCTTTCATTCCCGTCTGTCCCGCCTCAGTCGCTGATACGATAGGAGAATGAAGATTGATTCTCGGCAAGAAGACACCGCTCGATCAAAACGTATGTTCGGTAACCTCTTGGGGACGTTGCAAAAGTTCAAGAAAGAAGACAAGACCTCCAGAACTTCCGACGCTGTAAGTTTCTCGCTGGTCTTTCAATATCTGCTGACTATGACTAGGCAAAACGAAGAGAACAAGTCTCAGAGAGAATAGCTTCGAAGATTCGGACTGAAAACTCATTGAATCAAGAGATAGCAGACAATGAGAGAGAACTGAAGACTCTCCGTATACAAACTGGGTCTGTGGAGTTTGTCTTGAATCATAAGCAAGCGGCGGTTAGTGATCTCATTGGAACTGCAAGTCTTTAAAAGCTGATGGATAGATGACAGCGAGACATGCTTTCTTACTTCCCACTTCCAAATTTCTTTTCACATCCCTTCCGACACCTTCCGAGCCTCTGTTTCAGGGCAACCTACTCGATCCCTCACCAATACCTCTCGCATCAGGTCCTTCTCGTCAGCCTCCCAATCCTGCACAATTGAAACCACTTTATTTTGTAAGTCCATACTCTACATTTTGAGATAATCTGACAAAGCAGTTGCCAAAGATATTACTGCCCGAACAGGAAGAAGAGCTGAATATCCGTATCAAAAATATAGACGAGCTTGTCAAGGCCGAAGCCGACGATTTGGCCAAAGAAGAGGAAAAAACACGCACGACGGCAGCTGAGAACAGGCGAAGGATGGAGGAGTTGACTGATAAATTGACAGAGCTGAGAAGAAAGGTCAGACCTGAGGGATTGGTCGAAAAGGATGATTTTGGACGAACACCGAGGGAACAGATGGAGGTGGATCGGGATAGAGAGATAAGTATCAAAAGGGAAGAAGGGGTACAAATACGAGGTGAGAACGGGGATGTCGAAGTGGAATATTGAGGGTTATCATAATGAATCTGAGGCTTTATGGAATAGTAAGTGGTGCATGATGCATGACATGGAAAGCTATCGGTTCCCCCCTCTTATTCTCCCTTAAATGGATCTACCTCAGATAGATATCAGGTAGCTAGATGATGTTAATAGATCTATCATGGTCAAATCCTCGCTCGCTCCCGTTTTACACGACGACATACCTCATCGAATGGTCTGGTATCCTTGAAACAGCTGTCCCAAACTTCATTGACCGCTTGCTCAGCTTGTTCTCTTGAGGAACAAGAAGGGTTCATCTCTACTGATAAAACCGCTCTCCTTCTCACACAAGTCTGATGTTGTTTGGAAAACCCCATGAAACCTCTGTTAATCTCCCTCATCCATCGACAGTCCCCCGAAAGGTTTGCTGCTCTTATCTAAATTTCAATCAGCTTTCATACATTTCCATCTCTCATATGTAATGAGCTAGCTCACCTCACTACAAGCCATATGACGTAAATTGTTCCAGTCAACTTTGAACCTACAATGGTCGAAAGCATGTAGTAATTCATGAGTCATAGTATCTTCCATATGTTTCTTTGACATGAATCGATCTTGACATAACAAGACACCGAAATCCGGACTAAAACCTCCTGCTCGAGTTTCGGAACAAGGATGACATTGGATTGAAGATGATTCGAAAGGACATCCGGAGAGTCGTAGATGTTTCAACATGAACACTATCACAGGACCTGGAGGTCAATTCAGAGACCAAGAAAGATGTTAGGGGCTGACTAGTTTCTATAAGTTGAGTTTTCCATTTTTCACATTGTTCCCAATCCCTTTCCAATTTTTGGTTTACTCGTAATTCTTCTCTCGCGGCTTTCTCTTCGTCGGTGAGTCCAAGCCCTGTCATGTGAGCAAGGGAACTACGCCATCTTTCAAACGCCGGCGTTGGTGTTTCAATAATTTGAGTGATAGGTTTGATAGTGCTGGGACCTGCTTCAGCGTTGGTTTGCTGCATGACTTGTGTCGTAGAGAGTAGAGCCAGCAGACATAAGGTGACCTGGTTGAAAAGTCTGGCGGACATATTGTTGAAGCGGCGATCGCCGGGACATGGTCTGAACGGTTTCTCTGTCGATCCTTTGAAACCTATCCTCGCCTCTTCTTGCTCTGCAGATACCTAAACCTTCTTACTCGACCTTACCCTCTTTGCGCCTTATCCATACTCAAGGTATCCTGGAGACATATCACATATACTAATCTATTTGTGACACCTGTTCTACCCCATCTCTTGCTTGCCAATTCGTACATCGCTTCCTCGATCCTCAATCCTCGATCCTCAAGCCTCCAGCTTGAATCTATATCTCATCATGGGTAGGTATCCTCCATCAGCTTCAGTCTGCTCATGCTGACTATCAGGTATTCCAAAGGCATGTCTCTCAGCTGACAGTCTCACGTATCACCTCTGACGCTACAGTTCTTTCGATGGATCTCCGAGAGATACCCTCTCACATCTCAACTCATCACCCCCAACTCGATTCCTACGTTTGACAACTTATAGTGGGTCTCATTTCAAATCATAACGTGCATGTGCTAACCATGATAGTCTGGACATGGTGTGTAACCACTGCATATGAAATGTACTGATCGCTCACCCGTCAGAACGGCATCATTCACAATTGCTCACATCCTCCCTCATCCGAGGACGATCCACATTTCCGTATCACCGAGGAACAAATGGTCTTGGCTATCTTCGCTTATATAGATCATTTGTTTACCAAAATCAAACCAAAAAAAGTCTTTTTCATGGCTATCGATGGTGTTGCTCCTAGGGCGAAGATGAACCAACAGCGTAGTCGGAGATACAGGACTGCTAGGGATGCCAAGGAGAAGCGCGCTGAAGCGGAGAGGAAAGGAGAGAAGTTGCCCGAGGAGAAAGCGTTTGATTCAAATTGTATCACACCTGGTAAGTCTGTCAGATCAACTTGTCTTAGGTCGTATACTTATTTCAGGAACCCCTTTTATGGCTAGATTGTCTAATCATCTTAAATACTATGTGAGCAAGCGGATATCGGAAGATGCAGAATGGAGGGATGTGACTGTAATTCTGAGTGGACACGATGTCAGTCATTTAGGACGTTAAACAGACCGCATCGCTGATGGTTTAGGTTCCCGGTGAAGGAGAGCATAAAATTCAAGAATTTATTCGTCTCAACAAGGCTCAGCCTGATTAGTAGGTTATTCCATGAAAGAGTCAGATGCACTACTGATCTGACAGTAATCCCAATACTCGTCATTGTCTATACGGCCTGGACGCAGATCTGATCATGCTTGGTTTATTAAGTCATGATCCTCATTTTTGTCTTCTCAGAGAAGAAGTCACCTTCGGTCGAAAGACCAAAAAGTCCACCGGGTGAGTCGTCGTAGACGGCAATAACAATGGCTTACGAAAGACTAAACCAAACCAATTTCTACCTTCTTCACTTATCTATTCTTCGGGAATATCTCGACCTGGAATTTGGTTCGCTCGCCTCGCAGATTGATTTCGAGTACAGCTTGGAACGGATTATTGATGACTTCATTCTTATGGGCATCTTTGTTGGGAATGATTTCTTGCCTCATCTTCCCGATTTGCACATAAACGAAGGAGCACTGGAACGTATATGGGACATCTACAAGGCCATGCTTCCAAAGGCTGGTTAGTCGATGTTTTCTTCACTTGAATATCTCCTGATCCACAGGTGGCTATCTCAATGAATATGGCACCATTTCATTACCACGATTGCAGCTCATGCTTGACGAGCTTAGCAAATTTGAGGTGGATAGATTCGAGGAAGAATTTGCCGACCAAAACTGGTACAAGGGTAAACAAAGCAAGGAGATCGAGGCTATGGAAAAGGCAAGAAAACGAGGAAAGCTCGGTAAGTCAATGTCCTGAATGCCCATGTTATCGTCTGATGGCAGTTATCACGAAACAACAACAGAAACTCCTCACAAAGATCAAGCAATTCGTCACTAAATATCAAACAAAACCATCGGCAGATGACAAGTGCACTCTTGTGAACGATCTGTCGGCCCGTGATAGACGATTTGTACAGGAGCTGGTCGATGCTCTGCACCTACATGCCACATGGGATGAAGTGGATGAGTATGGTCAACCTTTGATCGTTCTTCGGTTCAATCTTGAAGGCGTAAGTGATGACGATGAGACATCGGTAGACGAGGATGCCTCGGATGAGTGGGAGTCGGAGAATGAAGGCGACCTGGCACTTCAGCGTGTGTTTCAGAAGTATGACAAAGCCAAGGTAGTGGAGAATACAGTGGAGGATTTTGAGGAATCGTACGAGGAGACAATGAAAGAAAAAATGGACGAATGGAAGAAGGTCTACTACAGGGTAAGTCATAGCAGTCTGCCGTTTTGTGCATGGACACTGCTGATCTTTCTCCAGGAGAAATTGGAGATAGACTATAACAATCCTGAAGAGCTGCACGGTATTGTCTATCGGTATATCGAAGGGCTGCAGTGGATTCTTTACTACTACTACCGAGGAGTCGCCAGTTGGTCTTGGTTCTACAATTACCATTACTCCCCTCGCATCACAGGTGAGTCGAACGAGGCTCGTGGCGTGCCAAGCTGAGACAGGAAGATCTGAAGGGTATTGCAGAGTTCAAATTTAATTTTGAGCTAGGCACCCCGTTCACTCCGTACCAGCAATTGATGGGCGTTTTGCCGGAGGAAAGCAAGGAACACATCCCTGTGGCCTATCGAGTATGCACAGTTTGTTCTCAATGAAATCTTCACTGATGTACCAGGATCTGATGTACGAAGAAACCTCTCCGATCATCGACTTCTACCCTCAGGACTTCGAGCTCGACATGAACGGCAAGAAGCAAGATTGGGAAGCTGTCGTTAAAATCCCTTTCATTGATCAAGATCGTCTTCTTCGCGCTATGGCCCGTGAGTACCTCTGTCAATATCATGAGACGATTTGACGTGTAGCTCGGGATGTAAGGCTCACAGAAGAGGAGAAGCAAAGAAATAATGGCAATGTCCTCAGCACTAAATTTGTCTATGACGAGTCCAACGACACTACTTATCCTTCTTCTTTATCAGGTTTCTTCCCCGATCTTGTCAAATGTCATTGCCGCGGAACTTCTTTCGATCTACCAACTTTGGGCGACGGCATCGAGCTCATCATGGGCCTTCTCGGCGGTGTCCATCTAGGCGCTTCGGCGCTTGCAGGATTCCCATCCCTTCAAACTCTCCCTTTCCAAGGTTCGCTCGGGTTTCACGGTGTCAATGTGTTTCAATCCGACAGTCGCAACAGGTCCATGATCATCACTATCCATAACAAGCACGAACACCCAAACCTACCCCCATTAGCCCAAGCTATGATTGGTCAACGGACATTTCACAGTTGGCCATATCTACAAGAAGGTCTCGTCGTCGCTTTATCTGATCAGAATCACAAATACGAGCTTCAACAACAAGGCAAGTCTACCCGGATCATTTCGACACCTTACAATCCCTTTCAAGCGATATCATGGAAGAAAGCGGCCGATCATATCGAACATCACAGTTCGAAACGTTTCGGAATCATCACCGGTCCCGTAGAGGTCATGCTACATGTGCGACCGCTCAAAGGGTTGAAGAGGATGGATACTGGTGCTTTGGTCAAAGACTACGATTCGGCGGACAAGGAGATTACTCAAGCTTTACAGTTGGCGGTCAATCAGGTGACTTTCGAAGATGAACGATATATTGAGAAAGATGCCCCTCCTATGGCACAGGATTTCCCCGTGGGAGAAAAGGTCGTCTTCCTCGGTAGGACAATTTACGGAGCCGCAGCTCAAGTTGTTGCTACGGGAAAGAATACGATCAATATCAACGTGGCATTCTTCCCAAATGAACATCAAGAGAACGCCCAATTCACGCAGCTTGTACGTAAACGTCCATCGGGTATCTACTATCCGTCCCCTATTCTTTCTCGCCGACTGCGCATCTCCGCTCTGGCCCTATCACGGATTTGCTCCAGTCTTCTGGTGCAACTGTCAGATGGATCAAAAACCAATATTGGTCTCTCACTAAAGTTTGAATCGAAGGGACTTAAAGTATTGGGGTATACCCGACGAAATGATCGAGGATGGGAATATTCAGAGACGGCTGCGAGGGAACTGGAGGCCTATAAAGAAGCTTTCCCCGAACCATTTGCCAATCTCGAATCGCGTGGAGGAGATATTCTCACCGCCGCAGAGATATGTCCAACAGCCAAGAACCCTGATCAAGTCATCAAGGACATGAAGAAGTGGCTCAAAGAACATAATCTAGTAGACCTTGAACCGGTATCTCTGTTCGCTGAGCAATTGGAAAAGGTACGTCAATCTTGAAATGTCTGTGAGTCTCTAACCATTTAGGAGACGGTCCAGCTTTTGGAGACAATGGCGAATCAATTCCATTCAAAGAAAGACGCATCACAGATTAAACGCATAACCATTCAAGGATTACCCAGACAAGCCATACTCAAGCCTTCCCACGCCATCTACCGACTTCAAGGTCAAACTTTCGTACTCGGTGATCGAGTAATCATGGTTCAAGATGCCGCAGCTGGAGGTGTACCCCTAGCTATGAAAGGTGTCGTCGTCGGTATCGCCACCAAAGATATCGACGTGGTTTGGGATGTACCATTTATGGGCGGTGAAACTCTTGGCGGTCGATGTTCGGAATACAGAGGGTCAACAGTACCATTCGCTTCTTGTCTCAATTTGACAAATCCACAATTCGCAGTGGATGAATCGACTCCTCCTGCTCCTTTAGGTAAAGCCTCACCATTCAAACCCCGACTCGGACCCCGTCCAGTGTTGCCAATGCAACATTATCAACCTTCCAGACCTGGCAAACAACCTATTACTGTCATGCGTAATCCTATCAGAGTTCCGACGACCCATGGAGTACAGTATAACCAAGCTGCTAGTGGTGTTCGACCACCTCCGATACAACAAGCACCTGCCCCTCGTGTACCTCACGAGCAAATGCTTCAATCGATCTTGGCGGGACAACAAAGGTTGAAGACTGCTCAACAAGTCAGTAAGTCGTATCAGCCAACCACTTCGAATGGTCATTCGGATAACCCTTCCGTCCCACGTCAACACTCGCCAAAGAAGAACCAACCCACTCTTCCTCATCAAGCGAATCAGCAGGTCGTCTTGCCCGTTCCAGCTTCACAACCATCCCGAGCGAATGGACAACAATCGGAAGAGAGATCTAATGGACATGTGAGAGGACGTGGACGTGGAGGACCTAGAGGTAGAGGTTTCAGAGGTCGTGGAAGAGGTGGACCACCCAAGGTTATGGAAGCTTCTGCTTGATGAATCTACTTAGTCACCCAAATTTGTCATTGGAACATGGTTTTGTCTGATGCATTTGAATCTTGACGCGTTTGACACATATGAGGAAATAGTGCCACATTCGGAGATAAATCGGTGTTTACCCCTCCATCGCATGCGATCACGTCCAGCTTGAACACTCACACCCACCTTGCACTCGCCTGCTCTTTCTCTCCCTTTACCTTTCACTTCAACTCACTTCAACTTTTCTTTCCTTTCTACGTCCATACCAACTCTATCGAAGTCCGCAAACATCCAACCAAAAACTTGTCTCGAACTTGATCAAAGTCATCTTCATCACACGTCGATCTTTCCTGATATACTCCAACTCCACAGTGAACTTGTGTCATCATGTCCAATGATGAGGTGGACGGATGGATCGCACAACTCATGTTGTGTAAACCATTGAGTGAAGAACAGGTAAAGATGTTATGTACGAAGGTGTGTCTTGTTTGGTCTCTATCCTCAGATGCTGTCTATCGATCTTGGCACACTCACTACCTCTTGATCATCTCAAAGGCAGAGACTATGTCGCTTGCGTGACGAATGTGCATCTTAGTTCTGAGCCATATGGGCATATAAGTCCAAGAGTGGTGATGAGAGATATGCTTTATGGATGGTATCTCCTGGGTTGAGTGGTTTGGATGGATGTGGTTGTCTCTAAGACGTGTTTCAAGCTCGGACGTGGTATCTCTGTGCCTGAAGTCGGAAGTCAAAAGATCAAAAAACTGATTTTCTACAGGCTAGAGAAGTCCTCATGGATGAATCTAATGTTCAACCAGTCCGATGCCCCGTAACTGTCTGTGGTGATATACATGGGCAATTTGTCAGTCCCCCCTTCCCTCCCCCTCTATTCCCTTGGCTTCTGAAGGACTTCCAACTCCCCAATTCCCTTCCTTCTCCCAAACTACCGAATGGTGATTGACGTCCAGCACGACCTCTCTGAATTATTCCGCATAGGTGGAAACTCCCCAGACACGAATTATCTTTTCATGGGTGATTATGTCGATAGAGGTTATTATTCCGTCGAAACTGTCACTTTACTAGTCGCCCTCAAATTAAGATATCGTGATCGAGTTACCATCTTAAGAGGGAATCACGAATCTCGTCAAATCACTCAAGTTTATGGATTTTACGATGAATGTTTGAGAAAATATGGTAATGCAAACGTTTGGAAATTCTTCACAGACTTGTTTGATTATCTTCCTTTAACAGCTCTTATAGATGGACAAGTGAGTTTTGGTTTCCTGTTCTTTCTTTGCCCTATCCCCTCTCCCTTTACTCTTGACTGTGACTTATCATTCTCCTTTGCCTTTGCCCGTATCCGATACCGATGCCGATGCCGATTCCGGGCTATAGAATGTAAAGCTAAAGGAGTGTTCAGATCTTTTGTCTACACGGTGGATTATCACCTTCCATCGACACCTTAGATCATATCAGATCGATTGATAGAATTCAAGAGGTACCGCATGAAGGACCGATGTGCGATTTGCTTTGGTCAGACCCGGATGATAGATGTGGTTGGGGCATAAGTCCTCGTGGTGCTGGATACACCTTTGGACAGGATATATCAGAGGCATTCAGTGAGTCGACCCCATTGGTCGTTTTTATCTTGCTGATATGTTAGATCACAACAATGGATTGACATTGGTTGCAAGAGCACATCAATTAGTCATGGAAGGTTTTGCGTGAGCTTTCTGATGATGGCATTAAGCGTGAGCTGACATATCAGGTGGTCACAAGACCGAAACGTAGTCACCATTTTCTCGGCTCCGAACTATTGTTATAGATGTGGGAATCAAGCTGCCATTTTGGAAGTTGACGATGCTCTCAAGTACACCTTGTACGTTTGCCTCGACTTCTTTCTTTCCAAGACACGTACACGGACATCAGCTGATGGATTAGCTTGCAATTCGACCCAGCTCCAAGGGCTGGTGAACCTCTCGTGTCTCGTCGTCCACCTGACTATGTGAGTGACCCAGGTTGTAGCATTTTGCCAACTGCTGATGATGCAGTTCCTTTAGATTCAAAATATACAATATGAGCCCTTCAAACGATATACGATACCCCCCAACATCATCCTTGTCTCATGAGTCTGGCGTGCAACGGGATGACATATTCGACAATTTAGTATCTGTTCTGAAGATTTGTAGAAAGGGAGAGAGATGTGAGTTAGGACAGAGATAATGGTCAGAAGTGAGAAGACAACAGACAGAAGATAGTAAGACATACCCCCCCGCCCAGTCTAGACGAGAAGTACGAATGAATGTATCCATGGCATGCAATGGACTATGATGTTTGATCGTTATTACTTGTGTTACTCTTCTACTTGGTGTAGCTTGGGGCAAGTGGGAGGGTTCATTCGTGATCTTTGCGACATTTTCTCTTCTGCTATCAGTCGTCTTCTTGCTCGTTCGAGAGCGACACCCAATCTGTTCCGTCATCGTCTTTTCTCAATGAGCTTATATCACTTCACACTCTCAATACCATAAACCACCATTTAGACAATATATCAACTCACTTATTATCTCCCCAATTATCTTTATTCTTCAAAGCTTCCTTCATTCCAAACCCTATCCCCCAAATCCTGTCCGTAGGACTAGCCTCAACCAACCTCGCCTTTCCAGTATCTATCAAAACTTTCCTCAATCTATCATCTTGTTTAAACTTTAGATAATTCCCTTTTGAAACAATACCTACATTAATCTGATCCCATTTCTCTTTATTGAAATTTTTGATTTTTCTCCCTAATCTTTTCGTTTCTGCCGGATGATCAGATTGTATGATTTGTTGACATAGAGAAGGATCGAACATTAGGGATTTTTGAAACATCATGTAATGTTCGGATGTCTTGAATGTTATTTCGGGAAATTGAGGGTCGGTGAATGAGGATGGAAACCATTGTGATAAACATGCGAGTGAGAAAGGGTATGAAGATGTTATTTTATGACCGTAGAAGAATATATAAGTTTCTTTCATTGGTTCGTTGGAGGTCATTATGATCGTGAGTTTGCTCGTTTGCTCGTTGGGTCGGTGGCCGGTGGGTCGTTTGCTCGTTGGGTCGTTTGCTCGTTGGGTCGTTGGATTTCGTATTTCTCTCGTAAATTAGTTGTCTTAGGCTCTTAAGTGTGGATCAGGTTTGTACCTGGGCTGGAATAGTTTTCCAGTAAGATTGAGACTGGGATTGTGATTGTATTGATGGTTGAACAGATGGAATGAAAATTATGTTGGGAAATGATGATTCTCGGTCGAGCCCTCTGCCTCTGAAATTGTAAAGATGATTGGATCTGACTAAATGACTGGACTGGACTGGACTACTGTTCTGAGATGATGATCACAGGGGACGAAGGGCTTACTATGAAGGTAGAGTATATAGTATGGTCAGATGTGATAGTAAAGGATCAGAGTGCTTGCATGCTGCCTGAAGCTCCTCATACAGATACAGCGATTACAAAGCTCTTCTTCCTGATAAACTTTTCGCCATTTTCCAGCTAGACGACCATACCTACACCACACAGCGTTTCGCTCTATACGCCCAATAAGCAGATCTCATCCTATCATACTTTTCACTCAGCTCCGTATAAACCGCCGCCGCCTCTATCGACAAACCTTGCTCCTGATACGATTCGGCCAAAAATTCCAGAGCGTATGAAATGGGCAAAGGTGTGTCTCGGGGTAATGGATTTGAAGGCATTGGTAAACTCGTCTCTTCCTTAGCGGTTATGGTCACATCTTCACGTTCAGTGTAAGGTAAGATAGCTGGTAGAAGTGGTGTCAATGGCTTTTTGAGATATTTCAATGATCTGATATCAGCTTGTATTCTCTCTGACCAAGAGGTAGGGTTGACTCACCCTCGTAAATAATTCCATGCGGATACATTGTGAGGTATCCTATGAATCGCACGTAGTGTATATCTTCTCATCAGCTGGTTGAACTTCATGACTTGTCATATACTTCATCAGGTAATCGAAAGGTAAAAGAGGAATAGGAAATGAACCCACTCAATCTCTTCTTTCCCATCATCTTTAATACCCTCTGCACCAGGTCTAGATATTCTCAAAAACCATCGCCAACCCCAAGCACTATTATTCCTTCCATCAACCCGGATCATCTCTTCACACCATCTCAATTCCTCTGACCATTCTTTTTCTGATATTCTACCGAGGGAAGAGAAATGTGAATAGAGCCAATGGAGGTACGCCCAAGTATGGTAATTCTTCGCATCGGGTAAAAGGGATTCGTGGATGTAATCTATCTCCTCTGTTGGGTGTTCGGGAGATATATGAGTCAAAAGTAAAAGACGATGATGCCTTTCCCATCAGCTTGAGTGATATTAGAAGATGAGGAGACTGACCAAACTTGATAACTCTTCAGATTCTCTCGAGCAAACGAATTCATCAATTCCAACTCTTCGTTAAGTTCTTTTTTCAAAACCAGTAAGGTAGTCATGC